TATGTTGTTTAATATTATATAAATAAAAGAGGATATTTTTATTTTAAAGTAAGTGTTATGTTTTGTGTTTTTATTAAATTTTACAAGTTATTTCAAATACAAAAGAGCCTGATCACGATACCCTATGTGTAATCATCATATTGAGCATTTGACAATCTGAAAATCCAACTTCTGCTGTAAAAATGATGAAATAATTGATATTCATAGGGTTTGCTAAATAGCTTTGAAATCTGATTGAAGTCTTGTTTTTAATGAGATTTTATGTTTTAGCCAATATCTTCTTCTATTTAATGGCATATTTGAATTCCTTGTCTTCAGGTAATTTTCTGTTAAATCAATTTTAGATCAACTCATTTACAGTTATTTACCTTTATTCCCGGATTTTCAAGTTTTCTGAAAAAGGTAATGACAATGTAATCCGCATTGAATGTAAATTCTCTCTTTGAAGGTTCATAATTTTAAATCATAATCCACATGACAACAAGATCTTGGTTACATGCGATATAGTTTTACCCAAATCCAAATGGAAACCAAGAGATTTACTGACTTTTTGCCAGTTGTGTATATACCGTGAATAGTATTCTAGCCCTTCCAACACATGTGCTGTCGTTTATTTATCCGAGCAAATGGTCCATTGTTCAGTCATAGCTGAGACTAATAAAATTTTATGATGGTCTAAGGTCATAGCTACACTTTTTAGAGTTTGGCTCCCCTTCAAATCATAAAAATTTTGAAATTATTTGTGAATTTATGTCCAAACATGGGCATATATAGAAATTATTCATGACAAATGGTCGATGTTTATGTCATATTCACAGGTCTGTAGGCAGGATTTGCCAAGGGGTTCACTTTTTAAAAAATTCTAAGGGGGGTTTCACTTTTGACAACTAATGGCCAAAATCACTTGAAAAGTGCTCAGAATAGTGAAAAACTGCATAATTTTGAAATCTTTTTTGGCCAGGGGGTGGGAGAGGGGGGGGGCTTCGCTTGAACCCACCCTGGCTGATTCATGTAATCCTAAGATGAGTGATATGCTGCACAAGTCAAGTTGTAATATCAGGCTTGGATTGTTTATGGCATTATGTTATCCCCGGGTGTGTTATTTTCGTTTAGTGTAGATGCTACCAATATATACTATCTCGGAGTTCATGCGTTTATAGTACAACTCGCAGTAAGAGTCGCGTCACTTCCTCTTTGAAATTTGAACACGATCGAAAATGGTGAGTAAATGTTTCGTACATATTTCCGATGATTACACATTATATATCCAAATGGTGATGAGTTTCTCATGTTATTAGGGAGCTTGTGCGTGTTGTGCATACATGTGTTTGGAAAAAATGAGGATATCTAAATAAATTACCCAGAAAACAGAGGTTCGAAAGAGTCATATTTTTCAAAAATTGATATTTTTGTGACACGTCGTCAGTCTTGTTGGAGTTTTAATCCTGATCCTCACATTGTTTAACGTTGAAAGGAGGTTGAGGATTTGTATATGTACGTTTTAAGAATTATATATCAATCCAAATCATTCGAGAGTATAAGGTTTTCAATATGTTGAGGTTATTTAGATGCAATTCCACCGTATTTTACCAGTCAACTCTTTCAAAGGATCGAATTTACATAGGTACTCTTAAAACAAAAGCGGATCTGTGTCAGTAACAAAATGTAATGTTGCAGCCTCGAAGATATGATTTTTTCTTTTTCTTGGTATCACAAGATGTAACAACAACGGATCTAGAGGGGGGCCTTGGGGTTGGACTAGTATGTATCCAACAGACTGACTAGAAGTCAGTCTTGTTATGATGTACTACTTTCCTGTGGAAATTGCAGTGAAATTTTTTGCACAAAATTATCAATTAGAGGAACCATTTCTAAATAAAAATAAACATTACAAAATTTCAATTAAATAGTAAGGTACAATTAAATTGTTGTTGTTGTGTTGCATAAGCCGCTTTTTCCTCGGCAGTTAGTCTCTTGTGCTTTTTCCTTGTATTTTCACTATGTGCTTTCTCTCGTACTTTATTCACTTGTTGCGCAGATTTTCAAAGTGTCATTCATTATTCATATTATTTCTATATTTCTCTCTCTCTTTCTTGTAGATTTCTTATAACACATAAAAAAGCAGTCATTATCTGTAATTATAATTAAACAGTCTCTGTCTGTTTCATGGTTTGTTAATATTAGATTCTTTTAGTTGTCTTTAGATATGTCATTAATAAATGTCTCATATCTCTGTTTTGTGTTTCATTTAGTGCTTTATGAAAGCCTGTCAAAATCTTTAAGTCAATATTTGGCTTGGGTCCTTCAATCCCTAGTAATTTTACTTCAGCCTTATGGAGCATTAGTTCCCGTTCAGCGTAGAACTTCTTACAATCGAAAATGTAGTGTTGAACTGTCTCTGCACATTTGCAGTGCTCACATTGGTTTGAAATGTCGGTCTGTATCTTAGACAAATGATTGTTTAGCTTGGAGTGTCCAGTAATCAGTTGATTTATCTTACAAAAGTAAGACCGATTTTGTTCATTCAGATTATTTTGGACTCCTACAGTTTCAATAATTTCTTGTATGTGTTTGACTTTTGTCGAGTTATCATATAGAGTCTGCCACTTGTTTAGGGCAGTTTTCTTAATAGATCTATATACTTCCTCTTTGCTTTGTTTAACAGAGGATGGGGGCAGTGTCGCTGCTTCCGCTGCTGCTTCCTTGGCATATGTATCGGCTAATTCATTGCCGTGAATTCCTAAGTGCAATAGGCAATTTAAATGCAATAAAAAGTAACACAGCATATTGTCAAGTGGAAATAAAGCTACTTGAAGTAACAAATGTGCAAATTAATTTTACCCAATCGGCCATTTTGAATAGCACTTCCTATGTAAACAAATATTTAGAATTACCAAACTTTAACATAGGTGCCTTATAGTCTGAATATAATTCAGACGAAATAGGATATAGTCTAGGGTTGGACACCCCCCCCCCCACCTAAAAAGTCAGAATTTAACTGGAAATCAAAATAGATGGATATGGATTGTCAATAATGCATTGCATATATGCTGAAATCAGACCAGAAATTGAACCTATGCTCTAAAATTGGTCAGAGTGCACCAAATGATGTTAAATTTTCAGAATTTTCTGAGACGGAGGTCCCAGACCCCCATATTCTTGCGCTCGTCTGCTACGCTCACAATTATTATCAAACACTGTCCTAACACAAATCCTGGATCCGCCCCTCTGTAGGATGTGAAGATTCTGCCTACATCTCATGAAATCGTGGAATAAGAAAATCGTACCTCTGAGGTTGCAATATTTTGTTTTCCATTATTATTGTGTATTAGTACTGAATCAACATCCAACAGCCATATCTTTTATTTGCTGAGTTATTGTTCCATCCAACTTTTGCGATTTTGCGATTATCAGTGAAGAATTACTGAATTCAACAGTCTAATGCCTGTCAAGATGGAAGTTTTTATTTTTGTTCTGTTTTTAACTAGAGCCAAAACACATATGATTGGTTTTTGAATTATATCACGGCTGACATTAGGACAGGGGTTTCACTAGAATTTCTCACAACAGGCTAAATAAATTAAAACAAAGGGCAATTTAATGGAAATCATAAAGTTAACATGGAAAAGTCCCTAAAAACAACAGGCAATTTTGTGAAAACAACTGTTGAAAATCGCCTGTTGCCTGCTGCTTATGAAACCCCTGCATTAGGAGTTCACAAATTTATTGAGATATGGGACCCCAACCAGCAAATTGTAAAAGCAGAGAAATTGTACTAAAAGTGCTTTAATTATATAAGATACGATGATTTCTTTTCTGTTTATTAATGCGTTACAACTTCTTTCAAATGCTGGCCAATGAATCACTATTCTTCTCTTGTTTTACAGCCAGGTCCAGCTGCTAGTGCCACAAATGTCGGGGGAGGTCGCTCCCCATCCAAAGCTGTCTCACCACGATCAGGTGGAGGCTCAAGCACAGTCAGACAAAGGTAAGACTTATAAATATGTACTATGTTATATTCTCTCACTTTGTACTATTTGTGCTGAACAGTAAGCTAAATGAAATTCAATATTCATGAACGAAATTCTACTATTTGACAATGCAACAGCCATTGCAGTTTCCCCAGATTAACAATCTAAAAAAAGTCATTTGCTGTAGTATTTCATTCCAAGTCACAAGCATCTGTAGTTGGCATTTATAACAATACTATAGTGATTGAAAAAATTAATCTTTTATCAAACCCAAGAAACCCAATCCTTTTCTATCAATATGGAGTAGAAAATACAATTGAGGGAGTGACCAGAGGCTTGTCGCAAGACTTCCTGTAGATTATTAGAAATTAAGCTACACTTTACACTGTAACAGGCATTAACACCGAGCAATTTTCTCCAGTTGTTTGAACCAAAATATCCTTTGTTTGCGAAAATTGAAAAAATAAAATAATAGTTTTAAAAGAAAATAATTGTTTTGAGTATTGTCAGAAATTCTAATGAATCTGTAGTTATAAGACTTAAGAGTATTTTTGCTTGTTGTAGGAAGACCACATCAGCAGCCCCAGCAAGGTCAAAGGCAGCAGGGAGTGCAGCAGGCATGTGGAGGTTCTACACTGAAGATTCCCCAGGAATCAAAGTGTAAGTTTAACTGTGCCTTTATAATTGAGAAATTAAGGCTATTTTGGTAAAACTGTACGGTATACAATTGTTGACCTCTCCAGAGGTCAACCGGCAAAATTGTATACCGAGACTGTAAACCGAGAAACTACTGTTGACAGAGACCGAAGGTCAACAGTAGTTTCAAGGTTTACAGTCGAGGTATATGATTTTGACTGTTGACTGAATTGAGAGGTCTACAATTGTTTTGTTAGTCAGAAGAAACTAATAATACATATATAGACGATAGGCCTAATCATCAATCATGGCTTCATTTCACAATCTTTTCTTCGAACCACGTCAGCAAATTTTTTTTAAGAAAATCTGAAGACAGTGGTAGTTAAACTTTCTGTTTTCGGCACATCACTGCGTACTCACTAGTAAATTAATGTTAATTTTACGTTTCTATTTGTATTTTTGCTATACTTGTCGCCTAGTAAAGACAAAATATCACTTTCATCAACGTTTGCAAAATGTCCGTCTACCATGTTTTTTCTGAAAACATTATGACGTCATATTCCCCATAATTCACAAGTGTAGTACAGTAACATACACGGTCAATAATATGATATCCCATGATGCACATGTGGGGTACAGGCAAAAATGTTGACTGCTAATTGACCAATCAGATGCGAGTATTTACACTGAGGTGCTAACAATATGGATTGGATACTTGTTGCGAACACCTTGAAATTTGAATATCCATTTTTGTTTCTCTTGTTTTTTTTTCGGTTCCCATAATGACAGCCAAGAAGTTCAATATACTTGCAACACTTTTTGTGAGGGACCTTTGATCTGATAATAATGGTTTTCATTGAACTGTTCCAAGTGCAATTATATGTCCAATACTTGATTATATATTATGCAATTACAACTGTGTGTAACATCTGTTTTATGTACCAAAGTATTTGTAGTTAAAAAGACTATAATTTTCATTATCATTGATATTAAAATAACAATTACAATACAATTACTTTGATCTATCATGTAATGTACATATTCACAATTGGAATCAAGGTGCCAACTCCCATGTAGTAAACTGCAATTTGGCAATGTTATTCCATATGAAATAAATAATGATTGAGAATATACACTGTTTTCAATTCCACTTCAGTTGTATAGACCTGCTATATGTGTTATGTATTTATATATTCTATCTTCTATTTGCAGTGGTCCAGTGCCAGTTTTAGTTATGAGTCTTCTATTCATTGCATCAGTGTTCATGCTACACATCTGGGGCAAGTACACTCGGGCATAGATACCACCAACCACTTAACAGCTATGGACACTGAGCATGGACTCAACATCACTCATCCAGTCTGATAACACCAAGAGACCCTGACTTATGTATATCATGGGACTCTGAAATGGAACTGGAATGGCTAAGTCTCATCTCCATAAAGGATTTATTAGGGTTGTATATCGTTCAGCAATCAACACAGAACTTCATCATGGATCATACTTCATAACAATCAGCAATAGATGACTTTATTTCATGAATCATACCAGATTATCAAGCATATCACACATAAAGATGTTGGGAGTGCCAGCAGGCCAGGATCCATAGACTGATATTTATTGTGTACTTGATGTAGTATGCATGACATTGTACAGAAATAAAATGCAATCTTAATAATATAAACAATTTGTACTAGAGCAACATGGAAAGAATTCGAGATATAAATAAATGAATATATTGACCAGCTGTTTTGAAATACATATTGATAAGATAAAGATTTGAAATTGTGTATAAGTTTCAAGATTATTTTAGTCTGTTCATAATAGATATAGCATATATGATCTCATTTTATTCCATGTAAGATGTATATATTGATATGTAATAAACGATCATATACATGTACTGTATGAATTATGAGAAACCCAAATCTGCTCTTGTCAACGGTTTACAAGTAAATTATCCCTTTAAACCAATTTATCCAAATACTCAGTAAATCACAGGGTTCTCTGCTGTTTCCAAAATCCTCTGGGTGACTTATCAATATGATACTACTGTAGTACTTTCAATCTGGGAAAAATCCCAGTTCTTGTATTACAGAAATGTACTGATTTCCTGTGTGTATTAGGTTTCGATTACCATATTCTATGACCACTGAGAATTGGCTAGAGACTCGAGTAAGGTGCCGAGATTTGGTAGGATACAGTTGAAATTCCCAACATACGAAAATTACTTAAAAAAAATTTGAATCCGAGGCCAACTAAACCCTCATAATTACGGCCACTGACTGACTAAAAACCACACTTCATCTTTATCTATTATGGTTCTGAAAATTGGCTAAAATTTTCTGTAAAATAGTAAGGATTAATGTTATATTTTTGGAACCCCCTTGCCAATTTACTCGAGTCTCCGTTACATCTGCGCGCTATACGTTAATGTTCATATACACGTACAACAATAACTATTGACGATATAGCCCCTCGTTGGTCCCCATGTCCATAATACTAAATTCAGTTAAAAGAAGACCTGCAAAGTCAAACTGAGATGTGCAATTTTGAACACTCTAGGATTATTTCCAACGGTTTACGTCATGTTTTCATCATCTAAAAATGATAAGAATATAAATCATCTTTGAAATGGTATCTTGTATAGCTTATTCTAAATTTACATGAAAGATGTCATACTTGCTGACAGGTATGTAAACGTCTCAAAAGATGCTCCAGAGGTGTGCAAGATCTTAGAAAGGACCTTATACACCCTCCATTAGGATCTCCCCATGGGAAAAAAATAATTCATCTGATTTTTCAAAATGAGTATTCTGCTTCAATTATTACATTTATATGCACACTAGTATCTTGTTGACCTATATTCAGCACTGTATTGATGTATAGGCCACTTATTAGGGTCATAATTCAATCATGAAGTGTAGAGGCATAGATTCCAAACCAGGAAGTATTTTTTTTGTCTGTCAAAATCCATTTACATCCTACGCATCACTGCATCTTATCCAAATATGTTACTGCATAATGAAATATAATAGTATAATCTTTGGTTTTACAAACTTGTATGATATTTGATAAGTGTAAAAGTTGTTTTTGGAGCATTTTTCTATAGCCATTTTGTAGGGAAAAAAATGATGAAAAAATGTACAATCTTTTAATTTTAAGTATGACCTGAATCGATTGCAAACTTCATATTTGCACATTTGATGAGATAAACCATTTGTGTCGTATTGTGAAATTATTAAGTTTGCAATCGATTCAGGTCATAGTGTATTTTTGGTATTTTTGTGATAATCAATGGAAACCAATGGCCTCTATTGGGATCTGCTGATATCCTCATGTTAAGTCAATGGTGCATAGCCCCATGTAAGTCAATACAACCTTACTGAACGAAATGATCCCTATCTCAGCTTATGTGTGTCCCAGCACTTTAATATTTTCCAAAGTATTAGATGACATTTTATTCTTCATGTTACACCTACGAATGATTCATTTTGACCATAGGGATATTTGCCAATAATTGCACCTTGTCCTTTACCCTCATGTTATATTGATTATCGAATTGCACATGCAAATAAGTTGTTGTTGTTTCACACCTGAAGTATAATTTATATAATCAAAGGGATGAGTTTTCTGGCCCACCCTGTCAGTATATGCTAAGAATTCTGAGTTCAGATTCCCCATGTAGCTCTTGTTTACTTTAGAGTACACTCACCCACGGGTAATATCTAAAGCCCCGCTATGATTGAAAAATCGCGAGCAAGTCCCCGCTGAAATCGCGAGCATAGTCCTGTTTATTTGTATCACTTTGGAAAATGAACCAAAAGGATGAAAATACTTATTACCGTTCTTTGATACTCCAGCAAAACTTTGAAAACAGATATATTTGACAAAAAATGACATGAAAAATGATTATTTTGTACTTGCATGAAGGAAAGGGGCGTCAACATGCACGTTTGCATAATTTACTGTTCATATATTACCTTTATCGTTAAAATAAAGGCAATAAATACGATTTACATACTCCATAATAAATATCGGATCAAGATGGTCTGTATTGATAAGTTACTGGACAATGACACCTGCCATGGGGGTCGAAATACATCATTAAAGATGTTCCAGTGGCCCCGCTGAAAAAATGAGGAGGCCCCGCTGAAAACATGAGGAGACCCCGCTGAAAACACGAGCAAATTTCACGACTACCCGCTTCGATCACGAGGAAAGCTTCATCATTATTCCATGAATATAGTGAGCTTCTTTGTATGAACGTACACGAATGTGCAAATAACGTATTAATGACAATCACATAACATATCATTCTATGGCAACATCAAAAATATTTCTTCTTCAACTTCAGGCAGTCTTATCCATCTGTCAGCGGCATGATCAATTTTATATGTAAATAGACTTTGTACATTTCGGAGTTAAATGTACATTCTACATAATTAACTATTCCAAGGATTATACTTCTGAGGACAAATATATTTCATTGGTTTCTTTGTCCGACCGTTCATTCGTGCGTGCATTCGACCGACCGTTCGTTCGTGCGTGCGTTCGTCCGACGGTCCGTTCGTTCATGCGTACGTTCATCCGACAGATTGATCGTTCGTGCGTGCGTGCATCGCCCAATCATGCGTTCGTGGCAGCGTTCGTCCGACCGTCCATTCGTTCGTTCGTGCGTGCATCCGTGAGATTGTCCGTCCGTTTGTGTGCGCATGCGTTCGTCTGACCGTCCGTTTGTGCTTGCTTTCGTCTGACTGCCCTTTCGTTCGTGGGTTCGTCCGTCTAGCCGTCCGTTCGTCCGTGCGTGCTTTCGTTCAACCGTCCATTCATGCGTGCGTTCGTCTGTTCGTTCTTTTTGCGTTCGTTTGTGTGTTCGTTCGTTCGTGCGTTCATTCGTGCGTTCGTTTGTAACTACGTTCTTGCGTGCGTGGGTTCGATCTTTTGTAAATTGTTTTCTTCTATCTTTCCTTCATGCGTTCTTTTGGCCGCCTATCCGTCCGTTTGTTCATTCATTGTTTTTTCGGCTGTTCTTCTGTCCATCCTTGTGTTCTTTCCTCGTTCGTTTGTTCGTTTGCAGGTTTTCATCAAAATTTGTCTTTCCACTGCCATATGAAAGAATGTAAATAATCAAGAAAGCAAGCAAGGATGTGAGGAAGTAAACAAGCAACGAAGTAAGTAATTGAGTTAGCAAGCAAGTAAAGAAGGGATGGAGGAAGTAAATCGAAGAAGTGAAGGTGGGAGTAATATAAGTAAGCAAGGAAGGAAAAAAAGGAAGGAAGGAGGGAAGGAAAGAAGCAATGAAGCAAGGAAGGAAGGAAGAAAGGAAGGAAGTGAGGAAGAAATTTGTGAAGGAAGCGAGGAAGCAAAGAAGGGGGAAAGAAGGGAGCGAGGAAGGAAAAAAGCAAGGAAGGAAAGAGGGAAACGAGGAAAGAAGGAAGCGAGGAAGCAAGGTAGGAAGTGAGGAAGGAAAGATTCCGAGGAAGGAAGGACGCAAGGAAGCAAAGAAGGAAGGAAGGAAGCAAGGAAGCAAGGAAACGAGAAAGCGAGGAGGGAAGAAAGTGAGGAAGCAAGGAAGGAAGGAACTGAGGAAGAAAGAAAGGACGGAAGCGAGGGAACAAGGAAGGAACGATGTGAGGAAGGAAGGAAGGAACTGAGGAAGCAAGGAAGGGAACGAGGAAGAAAGGAAGCCAGGAAGCAAAGAAGGAAGGAAACGATCAATCAAGGAAGGAAGGAAGCAAGCAAAGACGCAAGAAAGGAAGGAAGGAAAAAAGCAGGGAAGGAAGTAAGTAAGGAAAGAAGGCGAGAAAGCAAGGAGGGAAGGAAGCAAGGAAGGAATGAAGCGACAAAAGAACAACGCGAGGAAAGAATGAAGGGAACGAGGAAGCAAGGAAGGAGGAAAGAAGGAAGTGAGGAAGGGAGGAAGCAAGGAATGAAGGAGGGAAGTGAGGAAGGAAGGAAGCGAGGAAGGAAGGAAGGAAGGAAGGAAGAAGGAAGTGAGGAAGCCAGGAAGAAAGCAAGCGAGGAAGCATGGAAGGAAGGAATAAAGCAAGGAAGGAAGGAGGAAAGGAAGTGAGGAAGAAATTTATGAAGAAAGCGAGGAAACAAAGGAGGAAAGAAGGGAGCGAGGAGGGAAAAAAGCATGGAAGGAAAGATGCGAGGAAGGAAGGAAGCGAGGAAGGAAGGAAGGAAGCGAGGAAGCAAGGTAGGAAGGAAGCGAGGAAGGAAAGATGCGAGGACGGGAGGAAGCGAGGAAGCAAGGAAGGAAGGAAGCAAGAAAAGAAGGGGCGAGGAAGGAAGAAATGAATGAAGCAAGGAGGGAAGGAAGGAAGTGATGAAAGAGAGAGGCGAGGAAGCAAGGAAGGAATGAAGCGAGGGAGGAAGGAAGCGAGGAAGCAAGATGGGAAGCAAGCGAGGAAGGAAAGATGCGAGGAAGGAAGGAAGCAAAGAAGGTAGGAAGCAAGAAAAGAAGAGGCGAGGAAGAAAGGAAGGTAGGAAGCGAGGAAGGAAAGAAGCAAGGAAGGAAGGAAGCGAGGAAGGAAAGAAGCGAGGAAACTAGGAAGGAAGGAAGGAAGCAAGGAGGGAAAGAAGCAAGGAAGGGAGGAAGCAAGGAAAGGAGGAAGCTAGGAAGGAAGGATGCGAGGAAGGAAGTAAGCGAGGAAGCAATGAAGGAAGGAATCAAGGAAGGAACGAAGCGAGGAAGGAAGGATGCAAGGAAGCGAAGAAGGAAGGAAGTGAGGAAGCAAGGAAGGGAGGATGCAAGAAAGGAAGGAAGGAAGCAAGGATGGAAGGAAGGAAGCGAGGAAGGAAGGATGCAAGAATGCGAGGAAGCAAGGAAGGGAGGAAGCGAGGAAGGAAGCGAGGAGGGAAGCAAGGAAGGAAGCAAGAGATAAAGGAGGGAAGTGAGGAAGGAAGGAAGCAAGGAAGGGAGGAAGCGAAGGAATGAAGTGAGGAAGCAAGGAAGGAATGAAGCACGGAAGCAAAGAAGGAAGGAAGCGAGGAAGGAAGGAAGCAAGGATGGAAGGAAGCGAGGAAGGAAGGATGTGAGGAAGCGAGGAAGGAAGCCAGGAAGCAAGGAAGGAAGGAAGCGAAGAAGCAAGGAAGGGAGGAAGCGAGCAAGCAAGTAAGCAACAGGAGATTGATATAGGAATAATATTCATAAACATTATTCTGACTAAATCATTTTAGGTTGACCTAAACGCACGCTTATACGTGTATCTTACTGAATATCGACTTGTACTCAAAGATGGAACAGAGGGGACAGTTGCAATACAGAGAATACAGAATATCTTATATTACTTCAAATTATGAAAATGAGGTTAAATGTTTAACATTTCGTCCGATCTAATACTCATCACATTTCTCAGATGATCTTTCTTATTCTGTAAAATGGCATGGAAATATGATACTGCAGTTTTCCATAACAATGTATCATAATATGAACTATATTAAACAGTTGTGTTTGCTGTTATTGAGAATTGTATTGAAAAATAATGTATTCATCAAACTGGGTACAATAGTGGATCAAGGTGGGTACGAAAGTGGGAGATTTTCAGGGTATAATCGGGATTCACTCCATTTTTGAGAGACACTTGCTCCTGTTTTCAGCGGGACCTCCTCATGTTTTCAGCGGGGCCTCCTCCTGATTTCAGCGGGATCTTTGCTTAATTGCTCCTGCTAGAAGCGGGGCCTTGAGGGATATGATCAAATTTAAATATAAAATGTTCTGTAAAGCTTTAGGAAGTGAAACTCGGTACATCTTTATTTCATATCACTATCGTTATTTCAACCACAGGACAACATCGTTCTTCACCAATAACGTATAGAAATATATAGATAAAGATTCAAAAAGATACTTTCTCTCTTCAATTGACAAATAACGAACCACAGAACGACCGCTCGTGATACATTTTTTCCAGCAGTTGCTTTTTTAGTCTCAATACCATGTAATCATTGGGAAAAATTAAAAGAAAACGTTTTGTAAATCATACAATTCAAGAACACAAAAAAGAACCCATGAATTCTTTTTATTCCTCGCGATTTCAGCGGGAACTTGCTCGCGATTTTTAAATCATAGCGGGGCTTTAGATACTACCCGTGTCACCGTGACACTCATATTTAAAGTGCACGAGCTTGTTATATTTGATTCTTTACATGTGTACCTTACGTTTTACACGATCAATGTAGTATTTATAATACAGTACTATCTGCTGTGTCATTGTGAATGACTTGCAGACGCTAAACACAGTAATCATAAAGGTAAGCCATATTAACAATTAGAGTGAATGATTTTTTTAGCCGTTTTTTGTAGTCTACATAGAAAAAAATCTTAAAAATATCGCTTCCTACATAGTTGTATATGTTCAGAAATTCTAATACTGACTTCCAAATTGGAGAGTCCCGTGTTATTTTTAGGCACATCTAACTCATTCAATACATGATTCACACATTTCACTTTTAATCAAAGAATACACAAATGTACCTCAGATTGTTAATTGAGGGTTAATAAGTTTGAACAAGGTATGCAAATGAAGAAAATTCAGCGACCTATTTTTTGTAAGAAGAAATATAGGTCACTGAATTCTCTTTTTTATATGTATCCGATATATCTATTAGTGCTCAACTAATAATCTAGGTATAATATTACTTATTGTGTAAAACTGAAAATTGTATACCATGTAAGGAATGACGTTTTGTGTACCTGAAAATTACATGGAATTCTTATCAAACGCCATCAAAATTTCCTCACATAGACTACAGAACTACCTTAATGTAGTCCATGACGTGTCATTGATAATGTTTCTGCTTTTCATCTTACTCTGTTCCATGTTTTGTACTTGTCTGTGTTGTCTGGACAACAGCGAGATGTCTCAAGATGAAGCGGATTGGGAGTTGTACTATTGGAAAGGGATTGGTCCTGGTAGAGGAGAATTTGTCCGCCTTGTATTCATTGAGGTAAAACTTGTCTGAGAGCAGATTTGGAGGGAGGCGAACATATATCTATTTGTAAATTATCTGTATTTAGGCCATTAGGATGTCTCAAGATGAAGCGGATTGGGAGTTGTTCTACTGGAAAGGGTATGGTCCTGGTAGAGGGGAATTTGTCCGCCTTGTTTTTATTGAGGTAAACATTATACCGGGACATTATATGATGGCAATGAACATATTACCAGCCTCATGACATTAGGTATACTGAATATGATTGATAAGGTTAAAGATAAAAACTCATTAATAAAAAGGGAAAAGATAATACTTGTATATAGTCTATTTACTATGTCTTTTTCAAGGTCTGTTGTCCTATTTTAGGCAGGAGTCCCTTTCAAGCAGATGAATGATAACGAAAAGAACCGGGAACTATTCAAGAATAAGAAACTAACTGGATATCCATGCTTTGCTGTTCCTATGATTAAGAAAGGTGAATAACACATTTGATAAATTAAATGTAGATATCTCTAGATTTTCAGAGATTGGATCTGATAACGTAAAAATACTGCCACGATACACAATGGTGAAACATGGTATTCACTCATCTGTTTATAAGCACAATATGTGACTGGTCTTTAAGTGTTTTATTTTTGGCACATTGAAAACATTAAATTTCAATAAAAAAGGTTATGAAGGTATCATATCCAGTAACTAAATGTGAGCTGGGATGAAGAAGAGGGTAATGTAGCATGTGCCTCTTTAACACAAATATTTGTAGGTGACTTCCAGCTTTGTCAGACACCTGTTATTTGTAAGTACTTGGGTAAGAAGTTTGGACTCTACCCAGAAACAGAGGAGGACATATGGCATGCTGAACAGGTCAATGCAACTGTGCATGACTACATAGCAGAGGGTAAGACTATATCCCCAATATTACAATAATTATCATCCATGCACGTGATATCACAAAAATCACACCCAAATGCATTTGATATCAAAATGCATGATGACATCAATTAAAAAATTTAAATTGAAAATGCTTGAAAAGTAATTTGATAACTATCATGGGTGTCCTGAGATCATAAATTTTGTAGAATGCATGTAATATATGAGTTGTATATGAGTTTCTCGTTGATAGGTCCATGGGTGTTTCTAAAAGTCTAAACGGCTTGTTGGGCTATTAAAGATAAGGATATGGTTCCATGTTATTCTAAATCGTTGGTCTTTTGGCTATCGTTTTTTAAGAAAGAAATTCAGTTCCATTTAAAATAGACCAAATTCGTGAAAAACAAATATTGACTTTTCGAAAAAGTTGAATATTCTTCAATTCATTTGTACACGTATTTTACAAGGATGGTATTCATAGATGACTATATGGGGGGATTTTAGCGCTCTAAAAGCAGCGCGAAAAAACAAAAATGCGTATTTTTCTGCCGGGTCCAGTTGTTGACTCTAAAAATTGCCTAAATTGCTTCAATAAATGTCCAAGATAAATTTCAATGAAAATATATCTAGAGCCCTTTGATATTAAAACTTAAAACATCCCAGTACATTACTATGGAGAGAAACGTGACATTAATTTGATTTATTCAGTGCATTTGAAGTTTAAATACAGTAATATATTATACCAAATGGGATTGGTGTAAAGAACAACCAAAAGAGAAAATAATTGAACTGCTTCCCATTAAGAAAAAAGGTTTATATAAGTGTTAGCTAGAGTATATATTAATTATTTTGCTAATTTTGGATCACAATGATCAAAGCATGTCTTCTTGACTTCCTATTTACAAATGACTCCAGCTAGACTACCGCCATAACAGAAGTTTGTATCCCATTCAAAATCAATATAGCCATTATCCAATTCATAATCATTACAACCTCCTTCGTAACCCATGTTCCCGCTGAAATAGTTGCCTGTAGCAGATTTAAAAGTAATGTCCAGATCAAAGTCACATTGTCCAATGTGAGTTTCATCACCTTTGCAGTTTACATTTGTTAGCCATGGGGAGTCCTGTGTAGCGTAGTCCAGCAAATAAGCGGATGCATTTTCAAATGGAAGTCCTAGTTGGCGACAAACAACTCTTGCATCATTATCATCCCAGCCTGTACCGCAAACAGGGTGTGTCGCATAACTGCTCCACAAATTTCCTGTTGAGACTCCACCTCTTGAACGAGACATTTCTGTCAAATATACTGGTAATTTGCCGCAAATGACCCCAGCTATCAACTCATCTGTAAAATATTTTTTATTTTATATCCATAATATTCCGACTTTACCAAAACATAAACACATTTTCTATTCAAAGATGGATAATTAGATACACCATGAAGAAGAGCGTAATACTGTCCATGGAAAAATGCTTCTTTGTGCAATTCAGTACAAACCTGGGCAAGTGACATTTTCTCCTTGGTTGAAATTACACTCTGCAAGACTGTGTTCATGACCAGTGCAGTTGACATCACTCATAACGATTTTAACACGGTCATTATGTGCACCTTCGCCATAGCATTGGAGAAATGGAAATTTGTCAACAATTGCATCGTTTGGATCATACCCTGTAAAAAATTATACAAATACTATGCTAATAAGCTTATCTAATCAAGATTTTTTCACAGAACCTTCTCTGTAAAAAATTATCCAAATACTATATACTTGTATCGACACATTTTCAAAGGAGGTATGTACCCATCTGTCGGCATACAACCTGAGCTTCACTCCTTGTCCAAGTATCACCGCCACATATCACATGACGTTCGATATCAGAAAAATATGGGGGGCCAAACCAATCACTCACAATAATAATGCCACCGTTTCTTTCGTAATTAACATCGTACCCAAGCGTTTTCGGTTGCACATATTCGTGATATCCTAAAAGGCAAAATTATACTATACTAGCAAGCTAACAGTTCGAGTGGAACAGGGTATCCAAACTTGATGTAACCACAAAATGTAACCTAGATGCGATGAGATGCTTTTCACATCCCCTGGATACCTCTCTCGTGGATCATTAATTTATTTTCGCCATTTTAAATAAGTTCAAATAACATGACTAAGATGTGCGGCGGAACAAAAGCTCATAAGTAACCATGTATTATTTCAAAATGAGATTGAAGCAGTCGAAGTTCAAGATATGATGAAATTGGGACTGTGCTTTATGAGAACATTTAATCAATAATCTCTATTTTATAATTTAATCAACTCATTGTCATTATACAGGGTGTCCCGAAAGTATGGGGCCCCCCCTAGGCAGACATATTCCAGTGTCCTCATAGTATGTGTCATATATCATTTTAAAGCTTATCCAAAGTTACATTGATTTGCCAAGTATCATGGTTTAACTCCCAAATGGTAAAAAGTTACAGTCATTTTAAAAGTTAGTGCTTTGTCAAAATAAAGTTCAATTTTACACCACATTACTAGTCAATGAGTCCCCCTTGGCCATGTTAACACCCGCAATTATTTTCAGATTTGACCTTAAAAGCCCTTCAAATAGCGGTGTGGAATTTTATAACCTTCTTAAAACCTGTTAAGGCACTTTAGAAGAGTTTCCTTAGAGTTTCTACCCTCACCGTTCTCTTTTTCCAACTCAATATCCATCCGACCCGAAAAAGATTGCTGCTGTTATAGATAGCCCAGGAGGACACATTGACTAGTGATTTGGTGTAAAATTGAACTTAATTTTGACCAAACACTAAATTTTGAAATGCCTGTAATTTTTTCACATTTGAGAGTTGAACCATGATACTTGGTGAATCAATGTAACTTTGGATAAGCTTTAAAATGATATATGACACATACTATGACGACACTGGTATATGTCTGCCTAGGGGGGGCCCCATACTTTCGGGACACCCTGTATACTTACCTGGTTCATGATCAAAGCAAGCGACACCTAAATCAAAATATTCATCACCCGCGCAATCAACCTCTTGCATTCTACAATTTTCAAACAAAGCCGGCGTAGTGAAACCGCCACAGTGTGAAAGCTCAACACCTTTTGAGGACTTGTCCTTTCCAAAAAGTCCACTGTATGTGTACTCTCGTGCATATTTGCGTGGGCGTTTTAAAGCCCGACAAACCACTTGGGCCATTTCACGAGGAGAATTGTATACTTGAGAGTCACGATGTACACACACCTTTCTCCATTTATTATTGTACAATACTTTTACACGTCCAGAAAACTTGTCAGTACCTCCGACCAAACGTGTCTTCATACGTCTACAGCCGATATTCACTCCGTTTTGGAGTGAGTATCCGTATTTTTCTCTTACACTGCCAACATGTTCAATTTTCCATTCCGAAAAGTTACAATCATTTAGATTTTTTTCGTTTCCGTTACACGTCAAATTTGTCACTATTGCATTCCCGAACCCATATACAACTGTTCCAAAGTTTTGTGCGAATTTTGGATTAAACCCCATTTGCCGACATGCCACCTTAGCAGCACCTTTATTCCAAAAAGGGTCCCACACGAGTAACCATTCATCCCCTATTTTCACTGTCATGTGTGAATGGTCGTGGAACCTCAGTTTTATGTCTAGTTTAGTGGTATCTGTAATGCATATTAATTGACCACTGTGTCAATGTCCTCTAACTAGTACGTTAATATACATCTGTAGGGGAAGCTATTTTTAAACAAGCAAAATAAAACTATTGGGAAGGATATGCAGACGGACGGACGGATGGACGTACATAAGGACGGAGCCGTTCTCTTTATCCACTGAGAGCCTTGAGAAATCATCACTCTTTTGAGCTTGAACTTTCATTTTCCACAACGATGCCCATTTGTTTAAAATGTCGAGTATATCTAATTTTGCTTTCTTTGTTAATTTAAGTGTTAAACTGATTGTCGGATTAAACGGATTTTTGGAATGTTAGTGAATGCCAAAAAAGAAGGAAAATTCTTGCACCACTGGATAGCTACGTCATTTTTCTTCAAAATAACATAAATAATGTAAATTCTAGATTTTTTGCAAAGAGAGCTATCATTACTGTTATAGGTAAATGTAATGGATATTCTTTCACAGATTTCTTCATTGTTTATGAGCAAAATTCGTGTTTAGTGAATCTTAATGTCTTAATCTTTCAATCTTCCTAAAATATTGAAACATAAACGTCAAAACTCTTTAAATCCGTACCTTTACAACACACGTTATAGTTGTAAGTTGCGTTTCGCATGCACTTGTATTTAATCGGACATTTTGTGGCTTCGCAATTGATGAACTCTTTAGATTTGGTTTGTTTGGGCTTTCCGACTGGACAGAGATTGGGAATTTGGCAACATTTTCCTCCTCTGCACCCATAACCATTTGTACACTCAGCTGTGGTGTCGCATTTTGCCACATTCGCTGACGAGCTTTTACACTTTACACCTTTAAAGTTAAAATAAAGTCATGAAAATGTAGGCGGTCGTCAAATATTTTTTATTATTCAATGTTTTATCCATCGGTACAGAGGAACATTAATTTTTACTTTTATAGATACATAGAATAAAAATAACTGATCAGTCATGTAGTTTTTAGTAAAGCACATAACAAAGTACATTTCAGATTAATATCAGAAAGCTAAGATATCAAACATGTCAGTCGTGTGTTGGTTATATTATTTTATTATTAACCATTTACTTCAAAGTGGTTAATCGCTACATCCGCCATTGTATTACAATTGGTTTTATTGTTTTATTATCATATTCAATTGAACTATAAGTCAACATCTGCTAAATATTGCGGTAACAAAATGAGTCAACAACTTACCACCAGCCTTGCATATAAAGCAGTTTATTATAAGCAGGCACCTCAAAATGGCCAATGTTTCCTAGAATAAAAGTGTTAATTGAAATAATTTTTAATAATATCATGTATTTCTAAATTTTGATGGATATTTTGAAATACAAATTGTGTGAAAAAATCATACGTGACGTCAGTTTCAATACACCTGGTAAAACAGTGTTTAAAAGTTAAATTCGAAGCGAAAAATGTTAAATTACGATATACAAATACATGAACAAATTTTTTTTCTGGTCATGGTCATTTTATAACTATTGGTATATAATCATACAAGTTGACAATAGAGTGGTCTCCAACCGGGGTCTCCAATCTCGGGCGTAGTCAGGCACGAGGCATGCAAGGCAACCGCGTCATCACTCATTCACAGAAAAATACTCATTCAAACGTATTTAATTGAAATTGTGAAAATGAAGTATATAACTCTTTATTATTTCCCATTTAACTCATATTTACCTCATCAATTCAAATCTAATTGTTACCTTGATTATTTAAAGATACTGGGGGCCATTTCTCGAAACGTATCGTTATTGACGAATCGTTAATAGCGAATCGTGGATTCGCTTCTATGGACACCGCATTGTTAATGGAATAACTAGACCCCCACTCGTACTGGTAAAATCAATCGGATAGCGAATAAATCGTTAAAAATCATGACGTCATCGCGAATAGTTAACTTTTGAGAAACGGAAAAATCATTATTAATGAACAATTGAATTAACGATTCGTTAATACATGTAATAACGAAACTTTTGAGAAACGGCCTAGGCCTACCATTTTCCTTAGTTGATGAAGTCCGTCCAATATGTCCTAACGGTGCTCTGTCCTAGTGGGATTCATTCGTCTTTATCATGCGTTTGATTTGATACATTTTACAATAACGGAATTATATATATTCATAACCGCATGTTATTTATTATTTACTTAGCTGCATTGTAAACATGAAAGTGAATATGCTAAATAATGCACACGGGATATGGAAAGAACATAAAAATGATAAACTGACGATGCAATCAATTTTTGTTTCAATGTTTTTCATATCTGATGTTGATTGTTCATTTGCAAAAAACTAATATTTCAATTCCAATTATTGGTCCTACATGGCCGCATACGTCCTATACACTTATATATATAATTACGTTTCAAGTGATCTTGCAATTCGAGGACTATACTATAAATGGCCATGCGAAATACTCAGTGGGCCCATTAGCTACCCTGCGCGCAGAGTCTAGTTGTAAACTAGACGAAGCTCTCTTTTAAGAAGTGAAGTCGAACGAATGCAAAGGGTACCTTTTAGCAAAAAACTCCGGTAATCTCATTCAGGATTCTGGATTTCAACTTGCTACTAAAAACGATATCATCAAATATCAAGGTTGTCCAATTTTCATCCCACCGAACGGTGTTCGAGCGGGATATAGAGAAACCGTCTGTACGTCTGTCAGGTTGACAGATCGGGTTCAAATTTCATAGGTTTATCCATTATGGTAGCCTTGCCCAAGTTGGTCTCTCACTTATTTTGATTTCTATTATATTCAAGATCAGATAAGCAAAAAATACCGACTTGGGCAGGGCTAGCATTATGGGGATGGGACCACTGCTTAGGAAGGACTTTTCAATATTGTTGCTCAGTTCAAAATGGTCACCATTTTTTATGAATGAAATCTTGTATATGATCTTTAAATACTAGTGAACAGATTCAGTTAAGTATTTTATTTGCTGATCATGAGGGGCATAGAATTCTACTGAAAAGAAATTTGAGATGGCCGCTGAATAGTAAACAGCTGCCATTTTTGTAAAAATGTGATCTTTGGTAAATCACATATCATTTGACATATTAGGTTCAAATCCATATGTTGATGTCTTGAGGACATAAGATTTTTTTTCACTTAAATATCAGTATTGACAGTTTTGGTTCAGATATCAGTGCTAACTGCTGATGCCTCATACATAAGCATTCAGTAGGACATATAAAAATAAAATATATTTTATGAGAAGCAAATTGTTGATCTATAATGTTGTGCCTCATGGCCATGGTTATTTCAGGATACTAATATTTCAATCATGTTATGTTCAAAATGATGAGTGATTTGATAAAATACTTGTTGTTCAGTGGATTTGCTACTCCGAGGAGTTGATGTTATTCAAGTTAGGTCAGTGTATATGTACTTATATCTTATAAAATCTCCAGGCCACAGTTTATTTTCTTGTGTTGAAGGACTCATTGTACAACAAGTACTGAAATAAATTATATTTTTCTATGCACAGGACGTTTAGCTTTCCATGGCATTGATCACACAGCATCATACTTTGGTCAGGAAGAGGGTACCAAGCCATATATAGAGAGATTCATCAAAACAAGACTGCCTTCAATGATGGAAACATTTGAAGTTACACTCAAAGCAAATGGTGGAGGAAATGGGTAAGTGCATTAGGAAACCCAACACATCCTTTCTGGAGAGGCCTGAAAATATATTCTTTAGGCAAGCCAACACTGGATGAAAAATGATAAAGTCAAATAAATGATTCCAACTGATGAAAGTGAGCCTCTACTCTCCCATGTATGATGACTTGTTCTGTACATGTACATAGTACAGGGCAAACTGTGCAACTCTTATATCCAAAACTAAAATATGTCCAAGTTAAACATTCCAATATCATTATATCACTTGATTAATATGATCAGGTAATATACTTAAATAATACAGAAAGCAAACATTAATTCATGATATTTCAGTCTTCACCAAGAGACCAATATTTCAAAACAATAATGGGGCAGAGCATACTAATAAGGCCAGGGTATATGTTTCAGTCGTCATATTTTCTGTGCAGAAATAACTTGAACAATATTTGAAACATTTCATCCTTTGTTCCAGTTTTCTATTTGGGAGCAAGCTTACATATGTCGACTTAGGCCTGTTACACATACTGAGAGCCACAGAGGCACAATTCCCTGAGGCATGGGCAGCTCTAGACAAACCTCTACTGAAGGCATTCAAAAATAGACTAGAGGCAAGGCCTAAACTTGCCGCTTGGTTTAAGTCAGAAGAATGTGAGCCATTTTCAGGCAACAGTATGATGTAAAATAAATGCTAGAAATGACTCCAGTGGTGATAAACACTAATCACCTAATATGACTAATTCTATCAGTCAACTGCACAGCCACATAAAATACTCACAACCATTTATATTCTACATGGTCAATTTAGCAATGTGAACAGGTTTTATAGACGCTTTGCAAAAAAAGGTCATGAGCTCTGCTTGTAGATGAATTACTGAAAATCACATCATGTGATCATAAGATCACATCATAAGATTTAGTACTACAATTAATAATAAATATGAATTACATAAGTTACTATTTTGATAAATATTAATAAATAGTTTTCTTATCTGAAGTCCGTAGTTTGTATAATTACTAATAAAGAATTATCACAATAATATATTTTATCAAATATGATATCACAATCTTAATCACAGTTAGTAAATTAAGGAGAAGTAATTAAGGAGATTCCTTCACCTTATCTCGGTATATACCGGGGTATACCTTATAACACCCTTAATACTGAAAAGTCATCTGATTCTAAACATCAATCATATAGATCCAGATTCTCTATTATACATAGAACCCAGAGAAAATGGTGTTGACTTTAACAAAATCCTCTAGATAGATGGCACACCTTCCTTTCCCATAGTACCTGACTTTAGCCCCCTCTATTTGCATATAATGAAAGTTATTGCTAGTTTTAGATTCACAATCAATTATATCTACAAGATCGAGCCCTGTTTGGACTGGTTGAGAATCAGGGCCACAACCTAATGTCATATGTGCCCTACTACCCAATCCATGAGTAGGCCGAAAGCTAGTCTTAAAAGTGTCACATTTACCTTTACCCGATACCTCACATGTGTATTCCTTGTTCGAAACAGTAGTGAGTGCTAAATTCACTTCAGTTTTATTATTGCTTAGGGAATCAAGACCTTCAGTGTCATCCTGAGCCCATAACTGTTTCTGTCTGGAATTCAGTCGGATCCTGGCCCCAATTATTGACGGTGTTAAAATATATCCAATTATAGAGATCTGGAACAACTGTCCCAATGATTTCTTGACAACATCCTTATCTGCATATTCCAAGGCATCTTCAGACTTGTCTGGTTTAAGACCATTATATTTGGCAGTTATATGAAAAGGACCTTCAGGAACAGCATATCGGTGTAAAAGAGAGTCTATGCCTTCACCTGGAAAAGAAATAGGCCTTGTGTATGGAATTTATGTACATTATTTTGAGGCTGATTTAAAGATGGCAGTCTGCAGTTTATATGTGATATTCTCTAAACTTAACAGGTTGACGTCATTGCCATCTTTCTATGAACATTCTATCTATTAGTTTTACACTAAGCTATATAAATAAAGTGACTGAGTAAAATGGGATAACATATATGAGAAGAAAAATGATTTAGCTTGACATTGTATCTTAGTCAGATAGGTTAAAAAATGTAATTATGGTAGCCTAAAATCCTAAGAATTGTTCAATTGTACCAGGAATTGTACAAACCTGCTGAGGGACAGAATTTCTCCAATTCTTCTTTTAATGATCCAATCTTTGTTATTTGCTTCAATATTTTGTGAAAACCCAACTCCATCTCTAGTTTTGTAGATTGATTAACAAACCAACCAAAATACAATGGCAGCACTGGCTGGAATTTCTTCAGTTTTAATCTCAAGGCTTCCTCTGGAACATTGTGTGTATTTTTGATGGCTAACTGTACAGGGTCAAACCTCCACGCTGTTTTGGGCAATACAATGATGACACTATAACCAGCTCTTGCAGCGAGATTAAAGTAATACCTCAGTTCCCAATGCTGGATATGTGTGTTGTCAACAATAATATGTTGGTGCTTATTATCACAAAGCTCTTTGGCTTTGGCTTGGCATTTTTCATGACCTTCACTGACTTTTTCTGCCTCATACTCATATTCACCATCCTTCATGCAGAACATATCAGCAGAACATGATTGGGCAGTTTTGTATGTGCTCTCTATAAGCTTCACAAGGGTTGATTTTCCAGATCCCGGGAGACCCCTCATGATGAACATGATGTGGCATTGCTTTATATGTTTTATTGTTGCTTCCTCTTGGAGAAATTTGTATCCACACACCTCACGAACCTTATCAAGTTCATTATCATCATGTTTGATGGTATCATTGTGACGAGGTGATGAGCTGGCTTTTCTTCCCATTTTTTCAGGCCTTCCAATTCATAGAGTTAAGGTTCAGGTTCAAACTGAAATTATAAAACATAACATGTACATTTACACAGCAACAGGGTCAAAGGCACAAGAGCATAGTGACAGTTCTCCTGAAAACAAAATCCCATCCCCTACTCTCTGTATACATAGAAAAAGAATATTTATTTTTTTGTACACAGAGAGGTGGAGGGGGAAGGATTTTCTTTCCAGGACAACTCTACTATCTGTTCCGATGGGAAATTATGGTGGTCTATCTCTACTACCAGTATGCACAAAGAATCTGATACCTGTGCTCTGAAACCCAAGAACTTAATAATTATGTCTCTTGTTTACCATCATTTGTTGGAATTTTCTCCAGCTAGTTTCTTAATACCACAAGTCATTGTGATGTTTTAATCAATGTTAGCATATTCCATACACAATACATATTTCATTCAAAGCATTTTTAGAAAATTTGGAAATCGCGATTGAAATGACGTCATTTGTCTGTCAATTTGACCAATCAGTGACGAAGTAATCTCAAAACACATTTTCATTATAGACATATTATGTCATCTCGGAACACTGTTTTTCCCTCTTTGTGTTCATCTAGGGCTCCATGTGTCCAACATGAATATCATCTCATGAAAACTGGAAGAGGTGACTAATCCTTCTCTAACCTCTGGTGTATAAATAGGCAAAATCACACCCTTGAACAGTAAAGTTAGGGATAGAAAATTCAAAATGGCCACCCTGACATAAACCCATAAGTCCAAAACTAATCAGTTGTAAACTTTCATACAAAGAAACATTCCTCAAAATTTCGGATTAATCCATGAAATGATTTGGTTTGAAACCTCACGCCTCGACAGACAAGATTTTAGAACTGAAAATCCAAAATGGCCGCATTAACATTTACTCAAAAACCCCAAAAACTTATCAGTTCTAAACTTTCATACATAGAGACATCCCTAAAAATTTTAGATCAATCCATAAAACTGTTTCGGTGGAAACCTGTAAACAAGATTTATCAGGACACCCGCCCAACTGCCCGGCCATTGCCGTACGCCCTCCCGGCAAACTGATCAGAATATATCGCAGCCAGGAGTGCGATAAACATTGAGCTTGAAGCACAATAAACAAACAAGAAAATTCCACGCAAATATGTTACATATACGCAATTCGAGTGAAAATTCTGAATATTCTTTTTCGTTGTTCGTTTTTCAGCGTTCATATATTTGATGTTCTTCTGAAATGTTTTTGGTTGACAATAAATCAGAAAAAATGCGTATTTGTATGGCCTGTATCAACACAACCTGTATCAACACCTGACATCTATTGATCGCCAAACCTCACAGGATCAGGAACTTGTCGTGGCACTATGATATGAGATGCTTATGCCAGATCGGAGTCAATATATCTATCTATAAATAGATATACTCAGATCTGGCATAAGCATCTCATATCATAGTGCTACAAGTTTAGACTATATCCTATTTAGTCTGAATTATATTCAGACTATAAGGCACCTATGTTAAAGTTTGGTAATTTTTAATATTTGTTTACATAGGAAGTGCTATTCAAAATGGCCGATTTGGTAAAATTAATTTGCACATTTTTACTTCATCTAGCCTTATTTCCACTTGACAATATGCTGTGTTACTTTTTATTGCATTTAACTGTACCTTACTATTTAATTGAAATTTTGTAATGCTTATTTTATTGAAGAAATGGTTCCTCTAATTGATAATTTTGTGCAAAAAATTTCACTGTAATTTCCACAGGAAAGTAGTAGACTACATCATAACAGACTGACTTCTAGTCAGTCTGTTGGATACATACTAGCTACAAGTTCCCAATCTAATTTTTCTAAATTACCGCCAAACACAAAGTAATTATATAACACAGTAATACATGAACAGAGTCACAAAACATTAAATAGTCAAAGAATTTCTTAATTTACATGCGACAACTATTGAATACATGCTGTTTACCTCTAAAATTGCAGGATGAATTTTTTGTGGAAATTTGCTTCCGCCGGAACTTCCGGTATAAAAATTCTGCTCGGTTACTCTTTCAAAAATTCGGGAAAAATGCAGCAGCTTGACTCAGTTTCCACAGCTTTATGTCTAAGTTAGTGGCTTTATACAGTACCTGCCATAGGCCAGAGGATAGGTAAGCTAATTGGGCGTAAGCTACCCACATAAAATGTGGGGCTGCATGATTTTTCACACAGGTACAGATAAGAGATCCACTCTCAGACTCTGCTTATTACCCATGATTTAGATCTACTACTACTAGAGTCCATTTCACTGCTTCAGTTCGTCAGTAGAACGGCAAAAATAAGAAATTGGGAGACCATTGTGCAATAATTATATATGGAAAAGTATATTCATAATGTACATGAATGACATTTGTATATCTTGGATTGCTTCTAGTTTGGCTTATAAAGTGTGTGGCCTCTTATATTTGGATGTTTCTCTGCCATGTTATTTTCAATAAGATTAACATGGCCGAAATTCTTCAAATTACAAGACGACACAGGCTTATTGTACAAAAAACTAAAAAATCTGAAATATACAAATGTCATTCATGTACATTATGAATATACTTTTCTATATATTATTGCACAATGGTCTCCCAATTTCTTATTTTTGCCGTTCTACTGACGAACTGAAGCAGTGAAATGGACTCTACTTACAGGGAAGCCTGACACTCTTATTACCCAGGGAGCACCTGTGATTTTTCGTTTCAAATCTTAGACGGTGAACACCGCCTCTAATGCGTTGGATTGTCGTATGATCTTGCCAACACGATCCTCAGAGACCCAGAGGGTGCATGAATGCACCTATTCAAATCTTAGAGTCTAGATCTACCAACATTTGTCGGTACGGGAGACTGTGCTAGGTGGTTCGCTTTACTCACTTCGAGAGCCATGTTAGATTTTGAAACTTATTATATCAAAATCGACATAGCTTTCCAAGGAAGTAAGGTTCGCTAGTACCGTCAAATAAATGTCGGCACTTAGCCCCTCCTTGTTGGAATGTTGGCACTGAAGCCACTCCTAATTGGATCTTATAGATGTAAAAACCAACTAAAAGTCTGTGGATCTGCTAAATGCTGTAAAACATGCTAAACTGGAAGACTTTAATAAAGCTCAATCATCAAAAGTTGTCACAATGAGCAAAATTCTAAGTTTATGCCTCAAACTCCCTCTAAGTACATGTACAGGCCTCGACACTCATATTTTTTGTCTGGTGCCAAAATAACTACCTGGCCAATTTTCAGGTAGTTATTTGCTTCTGTCAGGTAGTTGTATATAAAATAAAATGATGTTATAAAATTTCAAAAATAACATATACCCAGCATATAATGTTTATCTTGTGCCAATCCCTAGATTATAGTAAGCATGGGACTAAATGGCTTGATGCTACTACTGACTTAATTGACCTTTTTCCATATAAATGAAAAATAGATGGCATCATGGGTATTGGTAGAGCTTGGGTAGGGCTAGAATACATGTAAATGTATTGCCAGAGTCACTTAATTTCTTGATTTAAGAAGTAATTCCATTTGGATCAACTTAAAACATCATTGGAATGTAACTATATGATCTTATTGACATGTGGATTGTGATTTCACATTAAAATTGTGATCCTTGTAAGAGTAAATGAACTTTTAAAGGTTTTTCAGCATTGTGTCAATGGGGATTTAGCCCGACCTTTTTTAGACAACCAGAAAATCATTAGAATTTGAATAATGGTAAATAACAGTGCAAATCAAAGTTGTTTTGATAGAGAATTACTCACAGAATTCAAATATGCCATCAGATGGAAGAAAATGTTAGTTTTTAATGGTTAAAAATGCAGATCTCCTAAAATCTCATTAAAAACAAGACCTTAACGAGATTTCAAAGCTATATGGAAAAAGGACCATTGGGAAGATAGATCCAATAAAACATCATAGGGATTTCAAGTTCTTATAATTTGAAGTTTACATTCCATCTTTGAGATCGGTTTTATTTATTAATTAGCTGTAAAGCATTGTTTTAGTATGACAGCAATATACATGATTTGATTGGTTGTTGGCTGACTCTGGGCACACTTCACATACTAGGTTGTTTACATTGAAATGCTTTCTGATTGGTCAAACGTCAGAGCTTGGAGGTTTTGTTTATGAGTTGATTGACAGATTTGAATTTCATTTTCACTGATCAGATTTTCTCACGCTAAGACAAAGAAGAGGTACTTTTCCATGACCCCGGATGAACCCCCCTTGGCCAATCAATGATCTAGTTTACATCAGAGAAGTGTGCATCTATGAATTCTGGGGTATTCCCTTTCCTTAAAACAAGTGAAGGATAAAATTGATTTATACATGTACAGGGCCAGGGGTATTCTCATATAAGTTGAACTATGTAAAGTGCAAGTGTAACTGAGCGACCCTTTGCAAAATTGGTAAATATTGCTTCAAATCATGCAATACTTGGCTCAATCTAAGAGTGTGGGTGGCCAAAACAACTACTGGGTAAAATAATAGGTAGCTTTTCTTTAAAATCAGGTAGTTATTAACTACCATAGCAACGCGAGTTTCAGGCTTGATGTAGCACAATAAATGAATCCAAAACTTCATACCCTCTTATATTCTGTAGCCTACATAACAAAAATATAATTTGATAATATTGACAAATATTATAGAAAAAGTTGACGATTTTTTATAAGATTCTCGATCCCCAGTAAGACGAAGGGTCGCAGGTGATCGCAGGGGAGAATTTTTTTTTATAATATTCCGGGTAGTTTCAATAGCTCAATGGGATTTCAATGGGACTCCATGTACCTTAGGATGGTGGGAAGTTCTCTAGTAGATTTATTTTCTACGCTAAAGTTATATAAATAATAACATAAATAAAGTATAAAGGGAATCAGGGATGATTACTGTTCTTAGTAGGTCTGCCATATTTAAAATGTTATATTTAAATAAGTTTATTTTGCTTTAAGGTTGTATATCATAGGGATTTTCACCCCTTTTCAAAGCCTTAATACAGCACGTTTATTATGTCACCACCAAAAGTGGTGACATATTGTTATGGTCTCCGTTTTTTTGCGACGGCGGTTGGTGGTTGGCGTCCGGCGGTTGGTGGTTGGCGTCCGGCGTCTGTAACAATTTCTTACAACTTCCTATAACTTAAAGGTGCAATAATTAGTGCAGAGGGGTCATACAACGACCATGGACCAGTGTCAAAATATATTTAAGTTTGGATATTTCATCAAGACTAACATCTATTTTTATTATCTACAAAGAAACCCCCTGGATAAACATTATTTTAGCTGATATTCCTCTTGAAACATGGTGGATCTTAAAAATATAAAAGTGGAAGTCCCCTTTTTGAAGCTTTGAACTGAATTTACACTTCTTAATGCTGAAATTGATAATTTATCCACACATTTTAAGAAAATATGTATGTCAAAGAAGATGTTAAACCAAATGTTGCCTTGATAGCTCAGAAAAAATGAAAAAAACTTTCCTATTTTCTCTACAGTCCTTATTGCCCCTTTAACAAATACTGTTTAGACCTTCTCAAGGTCAAAAAAGGTCAAAAAGGTCTGTTTTCAACTTGCTTCAAATTGACTAAAAAAAATTTTCAAAATCATCTACGTGTTCTCAGAAATTCAAATCTGACTTTTGATTTGACTTAAGATTTGACATTTGACCTTCAATGACCTTCTCAAAGTCAAAAAAGGTCAAAAAGGTCTTTTTTTCAACTTGCTTCAAATTGACTAAATTTTTTTTCAAAATCATCTTCATGTTCTCAGAAATTCAAATCTGACTTTAGATTTGACATTTGACCTTCAATGACCTTCTCAAGGTCAAAAAAGGTCAAAAAGGTCTGTTTTCAACTTGCTTCAAATTGACTAAATTTTTTTTTCAAAATCATCTACGTGTTCTCAGAAATTCAAATCTGACTTAAGATTTGACTTAAGATTTGACATTTGACCTTCAATGACCTTCTCAAGGTCAAAAAAGGTCAAAAAGGTCTGTTTTCAACTTGCTTCAAATTGACTAAAAAAAATTTTCAAAATCATCTACGTGTTCTCAGAAATTCAAATCTGACTTTAGATTTGACTTAATATTTGACATTTGACCTTCAATGACCTTCTCAAAGTCAAAAAAGGTCAAAAAGGTCTTTTTTCAACTTGCTTCAAATTGACTAAATTTTTTTTTCAAAATCATCTACATGTTCTCAGAAATTCAAATCTGACTTTAGATTTGACATTTGACCTTCAATGACCTTCTCAAGGTCAAAAAAGGTCAAAAAGGTCTGTTTTCAACTTGCTTCAAATTGACTACAATTTTTTTTCAAAATCATCTACGTGTTCTCAGAAATTCAAATCTGACTTAAGATTTGACTTAAGATTTGACATTTGACCTTCAATGACCTTCTCAAGGTCAAAAAAGGTCAAAAAGGTCTGTTTTCAACTTGCTTCAAATTGACTAAAAAAATTTTTCAAAATCATCTACGTGTTCTCAGAAATTCAAATCTGACTTTAGATTTGACTTAAGATTTGACATTTGACCTTCAATGACCTTCTCAAAGTCAAAAAAGGTCAAAAAGGTCTTTTTTCAACTTGCTTCAAATTGACTAAATTTTTTTTCAAAATCATCTACATGTTCTCAGAAATGCAAATATGACTTTAGATTTGACATTTGACCTTCAATGACCTTCTCTAGGTCAAAAAAGGTCAAAAAGGTCTTTTTTCAACTTGCTTCAAATTGACTAATTTTTTTTTCAAAATCATCTACATGTTCTCAGAAATTCAAATCTGGCTTTAGATTTGACATTTGACCTTTAATGACCTTATCAAGGTCAAAAAAGGTCAAAAAGTTCTGTTTTCAACTTGCTTCAAATTGACTAAAAAATATTTTCAAAATCATCTACGTGTTCTCAGAAATTCAAATCTGACTTAAGATTTGACTTAAGATTTGACATTTGACCTTCAATGACCTTCTCAAAGTCAAAAAGGGTCAAAAAGGTCTTTTTTTCAACTTGCTTCAAATTGACTAAATTTTTTTTTCAAAATCATCTACATGTTCTCAGAAATTCAAATCTGACTTTAGATTTGACATTTGACCTTCAATGACCTTCTCAATGTCAAAAAAGGTCAAAAAGGTATTTTTCATCTTGCTTCAAATTGACTAAATCTTTTTTCAAAATCATCTACATGTTCTCAGAACTTCAAATATGACTTTAGATTTGACTTTAGATTTGACATTTGACCTTCAATGACCTTCTCAAGGTCAAAAAAGGTCAAAAAGGTCTTTTTTCAACTTGCTTCAAATTGACTAATTTTTTTTCAAAATCATCTGCATGTTCTCAGAAATTCAAATCTGACTTTAGATTTGACATTTGACCTTTAATGACCTTCTCAAGGTCAAAAAAGGTCAGTTTTCAACTTGCTTCAAATTGACCAATTTTTTTCATCAAAATCATCTACATCTTTTCAGAAGTTCAAATTTGACTTTACAAGTTCTCAGAAATTCAAATCTGACTTAAGTTTGAACTCATAATATTGTGAGCAACTAGGTGGTGACATTTTGTCATGTTAATGCCTTGTATCTTATTGATCTCTACTTAAACATTTTGAGTGAATACTCATCTTTCATTCTATGTAAAGAAAACAGAAATTGATAAAATATTGACGGAGTGGGAGCTGTTACAATAACCCCTACTTTTGGCAATTTTTAGAATGTTTCGTCCAGTATATTGTAACGTTTTTCCCGGGTCAGGAATGCGGGGAAAATGCGGGGAAGGTGGACTCTCCCGCGTGTTACTTAATTGCGGGATGTTTCGGAGCGGCGTTGACTCCGCTCGCTACAGTCGCCTGAGATGTTACTCCAAGGGAATGTAAAGGAAAAGAAAGTATTACGCAATCTGGGGTTTGCACTACACAAGTTCCCTCCAGAACTCAATACAATACAACAATGAACATTCAAGTACAGAATAAAAATAAAGATATATATTTGCTCTTTATGAGCCAAACAATCACAAACAATGCTCTAGAAACAATAGACAATTATGTACAAAGTTAAACTCAAACTACACTAAGCTATATAATCACTAATGCCTTAAGGCAGAAAAATACATGTGATGTTACTTGAAGGTCTCTAAATTTACTATAAGAAAGTAAGATCAAATCGTGTTTCACTTTAATCAGTTCCACAAAAGATAAAGGTTGATATGACTTGAATGCTTCTATAGTCTTCTTCAGCAATTGTGGGATGCTGCTCTTTGTATTCTCTTGTCTGTCCTGAAATAAAAGGGCGCTCCTGGCCACGGGACTCAACTGCAACTAATCAAATTTATAAATGTGCAACCTGGTGCAAATATTCTTAAAATCCTTTTGTGGGTGCAAATGTCCCTTGCACCTATATGGGGTTACAGAGTTGGTTGTAACTCTCTTAAGTGTCCTTCCAAGGTTTATTGTGGGTGCAAATATCCCTTGCACCGATATGGGGTTGCAAAGTTGGTTGCAACTCTCCCAAATGGTTATAATGGGTGCAAATATTCCTTGCACCGATATGGGGTTGCAAAGTTGGTTGCAACTCTCCAAAATATCCTTCCGTTGATTATTGAGGGTGCAAATATCCCTTGCACCGATATGGGGTTGCAAAGTTGGTTGCAACTCTCCAAAATATCCTTCCGTTGATTATTGAGGGTGCAAATATCCCTTGCACCGATATGGGGTTGCAAAGTTGGTTTCAACTCTCCCAAATGGTTATAATGGGTGCAAATATTCCTTGCACCGATATGGGGTTGCAAAGTTGGTTGCAACTCTCCCAAATGGTTATAATGGGTGCAAATATTCCTTGCACCGATATGGGGTTGCAAAGTTGGTTGCAACTCTCCCAAATGTCCTTCCGTTTATTATTGTGGCTGCAAATATCCCTTGCACCGATATGGGGTTGCAAAGTTGGTTGCAACTCTCCCAAATATCCTTCCGTTGATTATTGTGGGTGCAAATATCCCTTGCACCGATATGGGGTTGCAAAGTTAGTTGCAACTCTCCCAAAGATCCTTCCGTTGTTTATTGTGGGTGCAAACATCCCTTGCACCGATATGGGTTTGCAAAGTTGGTTGCAACTCTCCCAAATGGTTATAATGAGTGCAAATATTCCTTGCACCGATATGGGGTTGCAAAGTTGGTTGCAACTCTCCAAAATATCCTTCCGTTGATTATTGAGGGTGCAAATATCCCTTGCACCGATATGGGGTTGCAAAGTTGGTTGCAACTCTCCCAAATGGTTATAATGGGTGCAAATATTCCTTGCACCGATATGGGGTTGCAAAGTTGGTTGCAACTCTCCAAAATATCCTTCCGTTGATTATTGAGGGTGCAAATATCCCTTGCACCGATATGGGGTTGCAAAGTTGGTTGCAACTCTCCCAAATATCCTTCCGTTGATTGTTGTGGGTGCAAATATCCCTTGCACCGATATGGGGTTGCAAAGTTAGTTGCAACTCTCCCAAAGATCCTTCCGTTGTTTATTGTGGGTGCAAATATCCCTTGCACCGATATGGGGTTGCAAAGTTGGTTGCAACTCTCCCAAATGGTTATAATGAGTGCAAATATTCCTTGCACCGATATGGGGTTGCAAAGTTGGTTGCAACTCTCCAAAATATCCTTCCGTTGATTATTGTGGGTGCAAATATCCCTTGCACCGATATGGGGTTGACAAACTGGTCAAATTCCTTTTATATGCCCCGCGCGGATGTTTTGGACTGCATAAATCTGATTGGTTAATACCGCCAAAAACTAGGTTAGTATGCCGGCGAGGTTCCCCAATGGGCGATAATATGAAATTTTGCAATTGCTGTCTCTATGGCCCAACAATATGAATTAAGATCCCAAATATTACGTAAAATTAGAATCTATTTTCAGAACTACGATTAAATATTAAACATTGGATGTAATAACAGAAAGAATATACATGAAAGAATCATGAGACATGTAATTAAATAAAGTACCAGATGCGGGCAATTTGAATTTACTAGAATGGAAACGTAGATTAAAAGTGCACTAAAATAGACAAGTCAAACTTGCGATTGATCAAAACGGAAGTTATGTATAAACTCCAGATACTAATAAACCCTATTCTACTCACCTAAGGCACAAATATAGGTTGGTAAGGGGTGAGAACCAAATATGTCAGAGAACTAATATATATGTCCGTATTGAAAAAATGTACTTCCGGCGTTTCATATCAAACCGGCTTTTGTGGAACGAAAACACCAAAATTAATTTTTCATCACATTCCTCCCTTCCCAGGGGCAGGTTCGTCCCGAACCGAAAAATAAAAAAATGAAAAGATGAAAAATTAATAGCAAAATATAAAACTGTATTGTCAAAACATCTCTTTAACAGTAAAACACTTAAGATATATATAGTACTGTCACTACTTAAATCCACGATTAACTCAATCAATATGAGAGTAAGAACGTAAAACTGATCGAAATGCTAATATCTTAGTTCCGAAGATTTCTGATAGAATTATACTGTAGAAACTTTAATCTTTAGTAAGTCTCTTCCAATTGGATAACTAAAAAAAATCCAATTAATACTGTTTTAAATGTTAATGTCTTAGTTTAAAACGTTTAGATATGATAATACTGTTCCAACTAACATCCACTGATAACTCACTTTACACTTGTTAATACAAATGGAAATGTTCTTGTCCTGTCTCTAAGAGCTTATTAACTAGCCCAACAGAATGGTATGGGTCTTTTCCTTTTTTATTTCTCCATCCTCATCCTTGACTCTCACATGGATTTCGACCCATCCCGCTCCCCCTTTAGGTTTCGGTTCTGGATCCTCTTTGTGCCCCCTTTATATTGTCCTTAATGTGAATAGCCAGAGAGGAACGACGCTTAAATGTCTTTTGACAATGGCCACATGCCAATCCTCCAGTTTCGGGTATTACTTCATCATCCGTTTTCAGTACAGGTTTAGCTTTCTCTTTGGAAGGGACAGAGACGGTATTTAGGGCAATGGACACTTTGAGTTCCTTCTTTTGAATGTCAGTGTCTGTCGGGTTGTTTAAGGATTTAATACCCCCGTCGACAACGTCCTTGTTAATATCTGTACCTGATGGGCTTACTAGGGATCCTAATCCCTCACTTAGCACATCCTTTAAAATGCCTATATCTTGGGCACTAGATAGAGATTCCAGTTCCTCACCAACAGCACTCCCTAAATCAAGCAATGATAGGTTATCCCAACTAGAGTTTTGTGACTGATTAGTCTGATACTGAGTAAAGCTGTTGGACGACGCTTCTGGTTTTGTGGTGGGGTTTACGTAAGTGATGACTGGTGTTTGGGTGGGGCACAGAGGAAGGTATGGATTTTCCGAATGATTCTGAGTTGCAGGAAGGGTGGATGGTGCTTGTAGAGTCCATTGTCCTCGGACGGGCCTGTACGAATCCTGTGTGGTGTAAGAACTACGGGAGGGTAGAGATTCCCGGGAGACTGGTCGGGTTCTATTAGCCCTAGAGTCAATCTTCCTAGGACGCTCAAGAGTTTCCTGTGATTGGGCATAGTTATAAAGTCCTCGTCCCCTTCCAATGCTCGATACATGTCCAGTGTCTCTCTGCCAAGCTTCTATGCCCCACGCATATTCCCTTCTGGCCTTCCGCCGATTTTCTCGCTGGCGGGAACGAGATCGCGATTTTCGCTCCCCTTCTCCCCAGTTGATGCCATCCATACTCCTGGAAATACAACATATAGGAGTGATATAGTCCTTTAAATACTCAGGAGTTTTCTTAACCCTTGACCCTCTTTTACAATTCCCCTCCCTTTGAATCAATGTTTCTGTAACACCGGGGAACCTCGTTTTATCTAGAACTGGAGACACTGGCGGAATACGCGCATAATTCTTAGAATCACTCACCTCCTTTTTCGTACCCTTAGGAAGGGAAAAATCCTTTCCTACCTTAACAAAATTCCTCAAATGTTGTGGAACACCCAGAGAACCCACTGATAGGCTAAATGGGGATGACAAGGAATCATCCATCTCCTGGGAAAAATCTTCCATCGTTGGTGATTCTTTCTCAAGATCCTCTGTTTTACTCAATGTTCGATCCTGAAAACTTCCATTCCTCTTGGATGCTGTGTTTCTTTCAATAACTCCCTGACATCAGATTGCAATGGTTCCACACATATTTCAGTGTTTTCCTCACCTATATCTTTCCAGTTCTGGGGTAACTCTCCCTCACTCTCAGTATTACTTATGGTTATCTCCACCATAGCCACCGCATGAGACTGAACATGCACCTCCTCTTTGATTCGGCAATAAGACTCCTCCCCATCAGTGTTATGGGGAACTTCGGGACATTCTGAGGGGCGGACAGGGCTATTAAACGGCGTCTCTGGTACGACACCTATACCAGGCCCATCCAAATCATCACTGGAGGACTCAGAGAGGCTATCCTCTGCTAACACCCAATTTGAGATTTCCAACTTCTCCATTTGACAATCGGATTCCATATCCTCTATTTCAATTCCATGAGTATCCACTGTTGATGGGGCATTCAGAAAACACATTGCTTGAGCTCCATAATCTATCCTGGCGCCATGTCGAGACATGAACTCGGATCCCATGATCCCCTCCTGGTCAATGTCAGCCACTACAGCCTCCACTGGCAAATCCCGGATATCCAGATGTATATGACAACGTATGTTTACATATGTTTTAAGCCTGGACCCATCAGCCTGTGTTAAAAGCCGTTCAGTCCGGTATAGCTTCGGTCGATGGTCAGGAGGAATTCTTAGGTAAGAATTCTTATCAAGTATAGTTCTAACTGCCCCAGAATCAACTAGAAAATCTACTCCAGTGCCACATATCTCTGTCTTGGCAATTATCTTTCGTACTATTTGATGGACTTCCTCTCCCGACTCACCTCGCTCTTTGTTTTCTACAAGAAATTGAATCAGGGCAGTCCCTTCAGTTTCCTGCCGTTTGGGTATGAGTTCTCCATTCACTGTTCTGTTGGCATAACATTCCCTCGAATAATGCCCCATCCTTTGACATCTATAGCATTTAACATTTCTTGTAGTAAATTCCCTTGGTTGGTTAGTCTGAATAAGATCCTTGATGGCTTCCTTCATAGATTGGAGACCTTCCTGAAGACTATGCTTCATGATCTCAACCAATTCCGAGAAAGACTCCTTGCTGTCTGGGGATTGATCTTGAGATACTCCCACTGCTGCAATTTTTCCATCCTTATAACGGGGTAATTGCTTCATCCCTTTTCGCATTTTCTCTGACTCCAAATAGGACTCCTCCCGAATAGCTAATTCAATAGCTTTATCAAGGGACTGTGCATTTCCCTGATGTATTGCTCTTCGTACTTCCTCCTGAGGAATTGCCAACTCAAAACTCCTCCGCGCAAGCCTATCCTGAGCAGATTTTGTCATCTCCGGGTAAGCCAATGCCGTAAGGCGCCGAATATCTTGCCCTAAACTAGCCAATGTCTCATTGGGTTTCCGAGTCCTACCTGATAATTGAGCTTCGAAAATATCGGCCTTCCCACCGGGACCGAATCTTTTCTCCAGGGCAGACACCAGATCTTCATAAGTGTACCCAGGATCCATTTCCAACAAAATTTGTTGGGCTGGACCCCTCAAACTGGTGACTAAGAATTGATTTTGCTCCTGGGCATTCCATCCATTAGCCTCCACACAGGCATTAAAATAAGTCCATCCATGGTGTTTTACCATCGTATGGCTCTGGGCGAATTTTTACCCTAGCTTGATTAGTGCTCCTTCCCTGGGCCATTTCCTTACAAAATTCCATACATGTTTTAGCCAACTGAGCCATTTGAGCTACTGCAGTTAAAGATTCGTTATTTGTCTCCTCTGCAGTTCCAGGATTTTGGTTTAACTCAGATCTGGAGTCATCCCTATAATGCCCGATATCTTCCCATTGCTCCTGTTGGTGCTCATCCTTTTTAGGTGGTTTCCATTCGAACTCATTTTCCGAGTTCCTTAAGAAGTTGTTTGAGGACTTAACTTCACTATGTGCCATCAAGTTCTGATGTTCAAAGGGCCTATTCTCCTCTGAGGGAATTTTTTTTATCCTGTAAGTCTCCTCTGGTTTCCATATAACTTTGGGTGCCTGACATCTCACCATATGTCTCCGGATTATAGTCCTTCGGAGTCTCCTTGTAAAATCTAGGCTGTCTCCTTAAGGGCCAGGGGTTTTCCACCCTTTTTACAGGATGATCGCCATCCCATTCCTGTAATTGAGGTAGCTCTCTCCAAGGGGCACTCTCCAACGGTTGCATATTACCCTGATGTTGTTGATCCACTTCAATAAATCTAGAGGTGGTCCTGGGTGGGGCAAAAACTCCCTCAGACATTAGTTTCCTATTAGTGATTTGGGCAACATCCCTTTTCGTTTGATCATTTAAATCAGACTTGTTCTTACGATCCTCTTCCACTGTGTTAGCCAATGTTTGCACAGTGTTAGCCACATCTTCTACACGAGTGCTTAGCATTTTGGCAACATATTCCACCTGAGTACTCATAATTTTTGCCACATTTTCCACTTGATTGTTCATCTGAAAATTATCTCTCTGATTTTGCTGACAAAGCTTATCTATTTTCCCCTCCATGTGTATTACTGTGTTATCCAGTCTCGAGAGATTGCATCCAATCTCAGTTACAAGTAATTTCTGTTTATCCACTTCTTCACTCAAAGTAGGAGAGTTCTGTCTCCACTCCTGACTTTCATTTTCCAGCATCATTCTAGTTGATGTTTTAGGAATTTTAGATTCCCCCTGTATAGTCGGAGAGTTACTCCTATGCTCCCCTACCTCATCCAATTCTAAAGTCTCCTTAAATGGGTTTAAAAGGTCCAAACCCTCTTTCAGAAGCCAAGTTTTAAGGCTCCTCTTTATGGAAGGGGGGTTCCTTATTCCACTCCCCTCTCTTTCCAGGCTCCTATCATGTGCTGGATCAGTCCAAGCTTTTATATTCTCTTCTGTCCAATAACCAGTGTTTATGGCGCTGGATTGTGCAGTTGATTGTTGGGTTACAATTCTCCCTTTATCCCCTCGATCCATTATTGGGGAGGTCGGGGCAGTGAGCTTTCCCGCAGCACCCATTTGACTTTGGGTTATTTTGATAAATTCCTCCTTTTGCTCCTCCATGTGACCCGACTTAGAACAACTAGGTTCATAAAATGGGTTTTGTACAACTTTCCTTGTACTCCTTAATTGCTCCAGGTCCATTTCTTGACTACTAAAATCTGGGATATCCTTCTTCCCGTCTCGTATTGGGGAACTTCTTTGTTCAACAGGCAAGGTTTTATCACCTGCGAAAGGGTTTTTTATATCCTCATTGTCTTTCTTAAAAAAGACCTGGGTTTTCTCCTGTTCATTTGTTTGATCCATACTCTCAATATCCGACATTTTCTCCATATTTCCACCTGTAAATTTACATGCAAATTCCGAGATATGCGTCGCTATTATAAATCCTTATCCTTTCTTCCACAAGAACAACTGAAGCAATCCCACTTCTGACACCAATGTTACGTTTTTCCCGGGTCAGGAATGCGGGGAAAATGCGGGGAAGGTGGACTCTCCCGCGTGTTACTTAATTGCGGGATGTTTCGGAGCGGCGTTGACTCCGCTCGCTACAGTCGCCTGAGATGTTACTCCAAGGGAATGTAAAGGAAAAGAAAGTATTACGCAATCTGGGGTTTGCACTACACAAGTTCCCTCCAGAACTCAATACAATACAACAATGAACATTCAAGCACAGAATAAAAATAAAGTTATATATTTGCTCTTTATGAGCCAAACAATCACAAACAATGCTCTAGAAACAATAGACAATTATGTACAAAGTTAAACTCAAACTACACTAAGCTATATAATCACTAATGCCTTAAGGCAGAAAAATACATGTGATGTTACTTGAAGGTCTCTAAATTTACTATAAGAAAGTAAGATCAAATCGTGTTTCACTTTAATCAGTTCCACAAAAGATAAAGGTTGATATGACTTGAATGCTTCTATAGTCTTCTTCAGCAATTGTGGGATGCTGCTCTTTGTATTCTCTTGTCTGTCCTGAAATAAAAGGGCGCTCCTGGCCACGGGACTCAACTGCAACTAATCAAATTTATAAATGTGCAACCTGGTGCAAATATTCTTAAAATCCTTTTGTGGGTGCAAATGTCCCTTGCACCTATATGGGGTTACAGAGTTGGTTGTAACTCTCTTAAGTGTCCTTCCAAGGTTTATTGTGGGTGCAAATATCCCTTGCACCGATATGGGGTTGCAAAGTTGGTTGCAACTCTCCCAAATGGTTATAATGGGTGCAAATATTCCTTGCACCGATATGGGGTTGCAAAGTTGGTTGCAACTCTCCAAAATATCCTTCCGTTGATTATTGAGGGTGCAAATATCCCTTGCACCGATATGGGGTTGCAAAGTTGGTTGCAACTCTCCAAAATATCCTTCCGTTGATTATTGAGGGTGCAAATATCCCTTGCACCGATATGGGGTTGCAAAGTTGGTTTCAACTCTCCCAAATGGTTATAATGGGTGCAAATATTCCTTGCACCGATATGGGGTTGCAAAGTTGGTTGCAACTCTCCCAAATGGTTATAATGGGTGCAAATATTCCTTGCACCGATATGGGGTTGCAAAGTTGGTTGCAACTCTCCCAAATGTCCTTCCGTTTATTATTGTGGGTGCAAATATCCCTTGCACCGATATGGGGTTGCAAAGTTGGTTGCAACTCTCCCAAATATCCTTCCGTTGATTATTGTGGGTGCAAATATCCCTTGCACCGATATGGGGTTGCAAAGTTAGTTGCAACTCTCCCAAAGATCCTTCCGTTGTTTATTGTGGGTGCAAATATCCCTTGCACCGATATGGGGTTGCAAAGTTGGTTGCAGCTCTCCCAAATGGTTATAATGAGTGCAAATATTCCTTGCACCGATATGGGGTTGCAAAGTTGGTTGCAACTCTCCAAAATATCCTTCCGTTGATTATTGAGGGTGCAAATATCCCTTGCACCGATATGGGGTTGCAAAGTTGGTTGCAACTCTCCCAAATGGTTATAATGGGTGCAAATATTCCTTGCACCGATATGGGGTTGCAAAGTTGGTTGCAACTCTCCAAAATATCCTTCCGTTGATTATTGAGGGTGCAAATATCCCTTGCACCGATATGGGGTTGCAAAGTTGGTTGCAACTCTCCCAAATATCCTTCCGTTGATTATTGTGGGTGCAAATATCCCTTGCACTGATATGGGGTTGCAAAGTAAGTTGCAACTCTCCCAAAGATCCTTCCGTTGTTTATTGTGGGTGCAAATATCCCTTGCACCGATATGGGGTTGCAAAGTTGGTTGCAACTCTCCCAAATGGTTATAATGAGTGCAAATATTCCTTGCACCGATATGGGGTTGCAAAGTTGGTTGCAACTCTCCAAAATATCCTTCCGTTGATTATTGAGGGTGCAAATATCCCTTGCACCGATATGGGGTTGCAAAGTTGGTTGCAACTCTCCCAAGTGATTATAATGGGTGCAAATATTCCTTGCACCGATATGGGGTTGCAAAGTTGGTTGCAACTCTCCCAAATGGTTATAATGGGTGCAAATATTCCTTGCACCGATATGGGGTTGCAAAGTTGGTTGCAACTCTCCCAAATGTCCTTCCGTTTATTATTGTGGGTGCAAATATCCCTTGCACCGATATGGGGTTGCAAAGTTAGTTGCAACTCTCCCAAAGATCCTTCCGTTGATTATTGAGGGTGCAAATATCCCTTGCACCGATATGGGGTTGCAAAGTTGGTTGCAACTCTCCCAAATGGTTATAATGGGTGCAAATATTCCTTGCACCGATATGGGGTTGCAAAGTTGGTTGCAACTCTCCCAAATGTCCTTCCGTTTATTATTGTGGGTGCAAATATCCCTTGCACCGATATGGGGTTGCAAAGTTGGTTGCAACTCTCCCAAAGATCCTTCACACCTTCTTCAGGTGGTTGTAATGGGTGCAAATATTCCTTGCACCGATGTGGGGTATGCAAAATTAATTGCAACTCTCCCAAATAACAATGTTGGTAAAATTTATGAATAAAAATACACACACATATAATAGTAATAGATACAATCCGATTTGAATCTCTTAAACAATGCTCAAAATGTCCAGGCTAAAACAAATGGACAAACTGCGATGATATTTGATCGAAAATCCCTCGTCAATTACTCAACAAAATATTCCTACTTACGTCTCCGAAGCTGTTTGTCTGTAAATCTTTGTCGCACAACAACTTGACAAACTGGTCAAATTCCTTTTATATGCCCCGCGCGGACGTTTTGGACTGCATAAATCTGATTGGTTAATACCGCCAAAAACTAGGTTAGTATGCCGGCGAGGTTCCCCAATGGGCGATAATATGAAATTTTGCAATTGCTGTCTCTATGGCCCAACAATATGAATTAAGATCCCAAATATTACGTAAAATTAGAATCTATTTTCAGAACTACGATTAAATATTAAACATTGGATGTAATAACAGAAAGAATATACATGAAAGAATCATGAGACATGTAATTAAATAAAGTACCAGATGCGGGCAATTTGAATTTACTAGAATGGAAACGTAGATTTAAAGTGCACTAAAATAGACAAGTCAAACTTGCGATTGATCAAAACGGAAGTTATGTATAAACTCCAGATACTAATAAACCCTATTCTACTCACCTAAGGCACAAATATAGGTTGGTAAGGGGTGAGAACCAAATATGTCAGAGAACTAATATATATGTCCGTATTGAAAAAATGTACTTCTGGCGTTTCATATCAAACCGGCTTTTGTGGAACGAAAACACCAAAATTAATTTTTCATCACAATATTTAATGAACTGAATTCAATAACAATAACTTTGCCGTTTTTGGGCTTATTACTTGAAAGCATTTATGCATTTTTACTATCAAATATTAATATTAATATGACGAATCGATTGCAATATGATAGAACGTTTATTATACCCTAGTTAGAGTTCATCTTGTATATAAATGTAAAATAATTTCGGGAATCCACTAAGAGTTGGGAGGTTTTTCCAAATATATGGTTACAGAAATGACATCACATAACATTGGATTTCCACAAAAGCGGGCTACCAGTATTTCGTCATCAATATACATTGGATGATATGGAGATATCCAGTGACATTTCTTTTGGGGGATTCCTGACAACGGCCAAACACTTTTACTTTCATTATTAAAGCACTTTGACATTCGATTGGAAATCGAAAGAGCATTCGTTACATTTATTTAATGAAAAGGAATCAAAGTGATGGTTATCCTCAAAAAGTCGTTTCTAACATTTTCTAAAGCCTAGATAATTATATACATCCTTAAAGCTTCTGGAGAGAGTGAGTCCTCTTTCTGGAGTTAGTGTTCTTGCAAAAAAAGATTGATGTACAGTAAGTGAGGATATGAAATCACATTCTAGAAAGAGACACAAAGCTATATGAGCAAAGTAAAAATATAAACAAATGAATATATTAGCTGCTGTATCTTATGCAAGGCTGGAATACAGAGATGACCTTTGAAGAAAGCAATATTAGTCATTCCTTATAGAAATGTATGTCATGATTTCAGAATGTAATATAACTGCACAGCATTGGTCTACCATACAGTAGCATGGCTGAGCCTCCTCACTAACTAGAAAATGACCAACAAAATGGAAAGTATCGCTGTTATAGACAAACCAATACCATATTTAGAGTTCTTCCAAGAATATCTTATGAAAAACAGACCATGTATTATGAAATCTTTTGTGACGGAACAATGGAAGAGCAGAGTGTCATGGATCCTAGAAAACACACAACCCAACTTGGAACATTTTGCTGAACACTTTGGTAATTATTTGGTATATCAGCTTGGAACCAGTGGCTGATTTAGGGGCTGGTGTATGTCTTCAGTTGAAGAAAATAATTTATTTCATTTCAAAAACTTACTTTTATATCCTTGTATCTACTTTGAAAAAAACTTGAATGTTTCTGTTGCACTACCCCTTGTCCGTTAACCTTTTGGTTGGGTTGGGGTTCATAATTCATATTGGTGTGCCACTTTTGATTCTGACTATTTTAGTGTAAACAATTTGATGTAGTAAACTAATGTAGGTGGTATGCTTGGGTTAAAGTACTTACATCTATATTTCCTTTGGTAAATGTAGAAAATTATAATGCACTGGAACTGTTACATATGGGTTAAACTGCACATTTTTAGAGCACATTGGTTCAATTAATTAATATTATTATGACAGATGGGTTCAACTGCAATAAATGAACCATTGCATTCTGGTTCAATTGTACATGAACTATTTTGCACATAGGTTCAACTGCACATGACTTATTGCACATGCATTCAACTGCACATGACTAAGTATCAGACATGGGTTTATATGCACATAAACTTCAATTTGCTGAAATATTAAGTACTGTCCTGGTGCCAATAATATTTTTTTATCATACTGTATCTTAATTTGAGTGTGTAGAATGAATTTTAAATTGGAATGTTGAATTTATTTGTAGGTAATGTTATGGGGCCAGCTGCAAACTGTAACAAACAAGAGTACAATTCCAACCCTAAAGAAGGTATGACAATCAAGCAGTACATCGAGTATTTGAGGAGATATAGGGATGAGGGCTATCCAAAGAGCATGGAGTGCTTGTACCTCAAGGACTGGCATTTTGTGAGGTAATGGTCAAAAAAGACAATTCCTAGTCATTAGTAGTCTCTATCCCAATGAACCAAGTTTGGTAGGGATATGTCCTTCTGTCAGTCTGTCTGTCTGTCTGTCTGGAAAAAAACTTGAGTATCAATGGACAGTTTTCATCATATTTGTTGGAAAGGTGTAAATTGATGAAAAGTTTTACGCAAAAGTTTCAAGATTGCTGCCACTTTGGAAATTGTTTTTCATATCTAACCAAAGTAATGAGTATTATACTCACTTTTTGGCAGTCAATTTTAGTAGTTAATATAGAAAATACAGTATATCATTTGACATTTATTCCACACTTTACGGCAGGACCCCCAGTAACCCCTTGCATTCTTGTTTGAGAAAATTGGTGGGTAAACTTGTAAAACTCACGCAAAGTATAGTATCATAGTTACCCCATATTGCAGCTAAGACTTACGTCTGTTCTATATTTCCAGTGAATTCCCACAATACAAGGCCTATGAAACCCCTGTGTATTTCCAATCTGACTGGCTGAATGAGTTTTGGGACATGAGGCCGGATGGGGGAGACGACTACAGATTTGTTTATATGGGCCCTAAAGGATCATGGTATGATATTAGAATAATAATATCTAAACCTATATCGTCTGATTGAAATAGCTTTGCACTGCTCTATTAAGGACCGAGTGTCCAGTTGCCTTCAGTTTGGTATTTAACTTCATTAGGAGGAGGGGATGGGTATATGATAATGTCAAAGGTGAATAATATTCATTTTTGAAAAATGTGAAAATCACCCTTTTCAAATTTCATTTCACTGAGAGGAAGAGGCTTAAACCATAATAGAATTAGCTTTATTTTTCCAAACCTGGGCAATTGGACACCAATCCTAATTGAGAGAGAGTAAAAGCAAGAACTAATAGAAACATTCCTGTGCTTAGTGCAAGAAATTTATATTCTGTATAACACGAGAAAGTCTATGACTTCCCATTCTCCTCATTTTTCCATGAACCTGAAGATGTAAAATATATAATGGGAGTGCACATAATGTTCATGTCCTGTATACTCTCGTATTATGGACTCTGTAGATATGCGCTTCTTAGATTGATATATTCAACTCAAAGGTTCAGCGTCTTTAACAAATGACAGATGGTGACATTTTGTATGTTAAAGCCTTGTTTACAAATCAATCGTGTTCTTAGGTTGTAACTCCCAACTTTTTACAAAGCAGTTGTGTTCTTAGATTGTTGTCCTGCCTTATTACCCGACCCTTTCAAGCCAGACCCTTTTGAATATCCTGTGCCTGTAAACCGTGTGCCTCCTACTGTCAATTTGCGCTGGTGCTTGCACTTGAACATTTTCCACAAATTTCTGGCAAAATTTTTCCTCACGAAGCAGTAAACAAGAATATTTATGGCTGAGTTGATGATAAGTAACAAATCCACCACCATGCCATATATAATGGATCCTGTATAAGATCCGGTGTATTTTGATGCTGTCAGTATACCAGAATTTCCCAGTTCTTTTTTAAATATGCTGTAGTTGATAATGTCCCAAACCTTCAAGGCCACCATAGGAATGATGCAGATGAGGAACACTATGGAGATGGTGATCAGCGTGATCGTGATGTTCTTATCTTTTTTCTCTAATTCTGTGCCAGTTCTTGATGTGATATTTTGACGATGTTGACGAGAGACTCTCAACTCACTGATAAGTCGTGCATTCATCCCCAGGACCAATCCAACTGGGAGCACATTGCGAAATACAAGATTTAACGCTAGTTCATATAAGACTCTGTAGTAGATATTCTGTCCGAGGAGGCTGATGATAATGTTAATGAAGAAGAGCTTTGTGCACTCATTGCGCTGCCATTTATAAACATACCCAAAATATACAGGGACGATGTAAAGGATGGATCCAATAATGACAATGCTGATGCCTATTTTAGCCATCTTCATGGTGCACAAAGAGAGAGCCTTGAATGGGAAACAGATAGCGATGAACCTGTCCAATGTGAGGAACACTACCAGCCATGCACTAGCCATCTGAGCCATCTCAACTAATGGGATCATATAGTTTACCACCTTCATGTATGTATCAGCCACAGTTTGGTTCTGAATATTTGTAGATTTCTCAATCCAATCAGTGTATGTATATGCAGCGTAATACGGTTCTGATAAGATCCTAAGAAGCAGATGTATACTATCTATGATTGCCAGTGTCTTTAATATGAAGATACTGGTGTTTAGTTTCTCCATTGCAGAAAATGTCATAAAAGACAGAATGTTGCCTATGATTCCCATAAAGCAGATAATGCTAAATACATAAACTTTCGTGATGACGAGTGCTTTTGTGATATCACTGTTCAACCGACTATATGGATTATTTGGAGCTTTACATTGTTCTTGTACACATTTCTTATGTCCCATTCCTATTAGTTTCATGTAGTCTGAAAGAGGCAATATGGCCCTTGTTGTATTATAACACTCATCAAACCTAGTGGTGTTCTTCACAAAGGAACTGTCTACCCCACAGTCTGTTATTGCCTGTTGTAGCATTAAGGCCTTCTGCTCAATGTGTAGGTTGATCTCCTGGAGATTTGACATTGGGTTATAATTCCGAGAACAAAAGTCAGTGCGACATGTTTTATACAACTGGTTTCCTTTATGAATAAGTTCCAATAACTCTTCAATTTTGATAATTGATGATGGTTCATTGTTATGATTACAATTTGTCCAATTTAATTCCTTAGTATTTACATTACAATTTGGACTTGACATTTTGTTTATCATATTGTTCAGTCTTGTCTCTGATACAATTGTCCAATCTTCTTTGGCCAAATCAGGACAGTCGTCAAGAACCTTTATAGAGATGTTTACATTGATGTTGTTTTTTGTAGGTGTAGTGTCTTGTAAAATGGTTGTTACACTTGTCACTGTTGTATTAGTCACACTCACTGTCATATTTGTCACACTTGTTATTGTGTCTGGCATACTTGACTGTGTCATGTTTGTTAAACTGGGCCTTGTGGTGGAAACTTTGGCAATTGGTGTGGTGATATTGTTGTCCTTTGCTGCAGCAGCCACAGTGATAGTGTCCTCACCTTGTGCAACTGTTCCTTTCAGGTCAACAGTTTCTGCATTTTCTGCTACTGTGAGGTTCAGCAAAAGGATAAGAATTCCTATTACATTGCACTCTTTTCCCATCTTGAAAATAGTTACTCAATGAAAAATATTGTTTAAATAATATATGCTTCTGTCTGTCAATTTCCCTTTTTCACCTTGAGCGATGAATGTGACGCAGTATACCTAAAATGCAACCTGTCCTCTCTGATACAAATGCAGTAATATGCTAAAGCAGCAATGAGTTGTTAAGTAAGACTGTTTTATTAATCAGTTCATTTATATTTATAATATCAAGAAAAAAGTAAAAGTTCCTGTTGTTTTACATTTGTTTTCATCATACAGTGCTATTGTCATCTATTTGCTATTGAATTTGAACACTTATTCATTAGCTTTGTCTCCAGTACACTGTATAGCCTTATAAACTGATTGTTTATTCTAATGACACCTCCTCGCTATAATGGTCATTATTGTATCGATTGTGTGTTTCACCTTCATGCGCCATATACTCATACATATAGAATATGTCGTTGAGAACTTCCCTGTCTTCTCATTGGCTGGTCTGAGAACCACTCTGTTCTGTGATTGGCTGTCGAGTATGACGCTCAACGGTGCTGTTTACTTATTAACAAGGGCTTTTGAAATGAGCTATTTATCCATTCATTATCAGCGATAATAAAGTAGAATAGATGATTGTGTTTAATAAAATTGTTTAAATGAATAACATGTTTCTATCTATAATTGCATGATAGAAACAAATCAGACTTGAAATAACTAACATGATGTTAGAAATAAAATAACAGTAAACCCTATAATGTTTCTCATAACATATTTTCTCATATATATCAAATAAGGAAGGGCATTGGCATTGATGGATATGTCGTGGGTGAGAATTTGATCCCTTTTAAGTCAGTCATAATGGAAGCTTATCCATATAATGTCCAGACTACAAACTCTAGATAATGGTCATTTCTTCATTGTGGTAATAAGAATTTTATAAGCACTCTGAAAAATAATTTTAATACTGAATTCTAACATGCAAAAAGCCAAGTTAGTATTTCGTAATTACAGTTTTATTATTATCTTATTTTGAAACTTTCTGTAATCAAAATACATATAATTAAGAACAATACTAACTTACAATTCTAGCTCCGATTATGACATATAAATACAATTTCTGGTTAGTTGATAACGTCATGGATTATTCAATTAGAAATTAAAAATCTATAATATAATATTGGATTATTTATTTTTTTCATTATAAGCTGTTTGTACATTATACAAACACCTCACCTAGCTTTATTGTTCTTCAATCATAGAGTAGATTATGCTTTTTCATGAGATAATTACATATGGATTTTAAAAGCCTTAACAAGGTTTGATTAAGTTTCACTAGCTTTTTAATCAGTTGAGCTTATACTGATATAGACAAATCCTTTTATTAAAAAGGGCCATTTTTGTTTGATGGTTGTCTCTTGTATTAGATGCAATTATTGAAAGTGTTTTCAATGGTGTTTTGTATGTCTTAAAAACCCACACAGCTAAGCTGATTAAATATTCACGTCGCATCCTTGTTAAACAAA